TTTTGAAATTTGACAGCAGCAGGATGATTGGTTGAGAATGAAGAAAAATAAAAGAATATGAGAGAAACTAACAAGTTTGTACTTCTGTGAAGCAAATGCTGCTGACAACCAACTGAAAAAAAAGTGGTTTTCACCAATCTGTGGATCAATACATGTGGGTAAAACTTAAAGTTTCCTGATCTGAGCTTTGAAAATATGATCATCCTAATATAACCACAAAACTCACACTAATGATAGCAGTTGGAATACACGTCACATACTAAATAGACTGTTTGACGCACAGAGATTAAACATCTGCGTGTGTTTGTATGTAGCAGATGGCAACTGAATTCACATTTGACATGTCCCTGGTTGGAGCTAGCATTATTAATGGAGTTCAGCTGTAACTGTGTTTTGGACACAAACGCCTGTGGTTACACCTGTCTTTCCCATGTGGCTTTTATCATTCAATCTGTGCTCATTAGCCTGATTGCTGCAACCGCAGAGGAACAACCTGGAAAGCATTTTAAATGTGATGGATGTGCAGATGAGTGTGTGCTGGGTGAGAATGCAAACTGGTGTGAATACAAAAAGTGACACAAATTTGCTCTATCATTATAGACACATCTGGGTAACAAAATTTGACAAACAACTGCCATTGTCTCCATCAAAATAATTTCTATAATAAATCACTGTATGCTATATTTCACCACAGAAACACTAATGTCCCCGAGAATCCAATCTCCTTTATCATACTTTATTTACTTCTAAAAGTGGGTTGTTGCACCAAAGGGGTCTACTCTGACCCACTTACATCTCTGCATGATCTTTTTTTTTTTTTTTTAACAAACATTAAGCAGAGTAAGGTTTATTTTCAGACATTAAGGACTCATGTGTTGCTGGATTTTTTGGCAGTCCAGTTTGGTGTTAAATTATTTGACATGTACACCAGGATCAAAAGCCCTAATGCATCGTATGCACCCCTGTGTGTTATGCAAATTGAGGTGTTTTAATGAAGGCAACATGAATAATTCAGAAGTGGTGTTCCACCAGAAACGCAGGAACAAAATCATAGGAAAAAAATAAAAATCTATGTTGAAGTGTCTCTCCCTTCTGTTTGATATCCGATGCAGCTCATCATTTACTTATTTACAAATGTCAGCAAAGTGAAATAAGCCATTTAATTAGTCTTTAAAGTAGAGGCAATGCACTCTCTCTCTCCCTCTCTGTATCCATCTACTTTACGGTTATGAGACTCAAATTGAATGTCATGGTAGTGATTCAGACTCAATTTGTCTCTTTAGGTGGTTGGGTTGCTTGTATAATAGTGATTACTGCACACAGAGAAAAAGAAGAAAAGTCACAGCCTGATGCACTTTATGTTCCGACTTTTTTTTTTAAAAATAGACTGATTGAATTGTTATTAACAATGCTTTTTTGATGCACTAAAAATAAACACAACAAATACCCCTGCAGGTGAGCAGGTGAAGTGCTCAAACATAAACAAATAAGGTCTTTTTTGATTATTTTCTTTGAGCGGTGCAAGTTTAAGGAGGCCATTTTTCACATATTTTCAGTGTGTCGCTGAGACTTTGAGCAGACTTACACATTGTGTATGGATTGTGGCTGATGCCAAGCTGCTGCTCTGACAGCCCTGGGCTAAGGAAGAAAGGTGAGAATTATTCACCACCCACACATCACTTACAAGCCTCTTATCTAATCCTCCAGCAGTAGTCGAGAAGAAATCCTTTCCTGGATCAAACTCAGGATGATTTGACCTCAAAAGGCCCGGAATCACACGCACACCTGAACATGTTGTGTTAATGTATCATTCATTACGGTACATTGTGTTAATTTGTGTTGTCAACTTTTGAATGACAAGTGTGAGTATCATCTGCATAGCATGTCACTGTATTACAGGTAAAGCAATGTTCAGAAGACAAGGAACAAGTGAACAGCCTAGTGTCCACTTTGTCTGGTGCAGATGTCAACAGAGTCCCCCCCCCCCCCAACCCCCAAATCTTTGACATAGCCAGGCTGACTGTGTAATCATATTACCAATGCATGTCTCATTAGTTTCTGCCATGGCTGAGTGTCTCTGTCTCCTCCTGCTCTACTCATAACCCCCCGCTCCTTTAGACACACACCGTCACACACACACACACACACACACACACACACACACACACACACACACACACACACACACACACACACACACACACACACAAACATCCACTCAATTGCTGGCTGGCATTTGAGAGTGTCTGGGCTTGCATCTAAAGCAGTTTACCAGGGAAATAATAGCCCTCTAAAAGGATTCTCTGTATGCAGAATCATCCCATTTCATTTGCATTCTAGTGAGACAAATTAAATTTCAGCAGAAGGTGAGTTTAGCACCATGTTGAGATGACAAAAGGAGAAATGGATGCGGGGACGCCTCAGACCAAAATTAAATAGGAGTTCTTGGGAGGTGATACTGCAACCGGGACAAATTTTATTTGAGATACTGATGCATTTAGAGTGATTACATTTTTAAAAGCGGAATCAATAAAAGTAACAGGTCTGAAAGGCTGTGAAAAAGACAGAGAAAAAAGACAGAAAAAAAAGACTTTTCCAATAACTCTTGAATGCGTGTCTAGACATTGGAATTGCTCGGCAGCTGTGTTTTCTTATTGTTAGTCTGCTCTAGATTTCAATAAAAAGGTAAGTCTGAGCATGAATCCCACATCCACTTCAATAAATGCAGACAAAGAAGTGAAGGCCATTGGAAGAATATGCAAGATCAAACACTGTCATTCTGATTGTGTGTCAAGGTCATGCGCCGCCTTCCTGAGCTCCTCCTCTTCAGCAATGTTGCTGAATAAAGAGCGTGCAGTTGGATAACCTTCAATCCTTGCCCCCCCCCACTCCCCCCCATTCTATCCACCCACCCTTCGCCCCTTCCTCTGGTAAAGTGCTCACAGCTCGTCCTTGAGAGAGTTTTTCGAATGCGTTGCTGTCAATAGGCCTGGCTGGCTGTTGCTCTTTGAAAAGGAAGTCGTGACATTGCTTTAACTATATTGAAACCAATTCCTCTGCAAATGCTTTCACTGCATTCCTTCAAAAAGCCCTCAAAAACAGGAGGTCTTCCATGAAAGCATCTTCTGCAACACCTGTCACAGTTGCCCTCTCCATGAACCCGACCAGCATTCATAATTGATGAGATCTTCATGACCATCATGCTACCTCTTTCTCTACCAGGGTAGCGTAAACTCAATATCTCGTACCCTGAGCAAACTGCAAATCTTCCCCGTGTGCTACAATTTTTACTCAGTGTCTTGTCCTTGCAGTGTCTTCAGTTGGTTTACTGCGGCGGTCACTGGGCTGAACTCACAGCGTGCGCTATCGATTCCTTCCAACCAGGCAATTTCCAGGGCACTTAGCCTAAATATCAGCACCGATCAAATTGACTGAAGAGGAGTGATCCTCTCTGAGCCAGGATCTGTTTGTTTGTGTGAGAGTGCAGCAGTTACCAATGATAACATGAGCATGACGAGCAAAGGATTCCGGTAATGTTAACTTCCTGACCTTTGCTCATTCATAAATAGTGCTATTATGACTTTTCAAAAGGGTCACCTGCATGTCCTCAAAACAGATTTAGTGGCTGCCTGTGTGACACTCAGGGGAGCTTTGACTGGAGTAATCTTTTGTTGTTGTTTAGAGGTTTTAACGTTTCACCGAGAAAGCAATTTTAAAACGGATGAGGACGTAATCCCCGACAATACAGGGATTATCTCTTTAAATGACCTTTATCTTGCCATGAAGCATGAAGTGCTTTTCAACTCCACTATCCCAAACCTGGTTTGATTTCGGCTACAATGCCTATTTATAATCATACGGCTATAGACAGACTACACAGCTGCAGTGGCGGTGAATTTAAAATGCGAGATAAGGGCCTCCGAGTAGTTTTAAAGAGAAGCTCTGTGATAGAAGTGAGAGGATTTGAACATGGCTCAAATAAAATAAAACACACACGGTTTTCCAGTAATGGCTTGTCCCATTAAAGCTCAGACTTAGCTAGAGCATGTTCTGTAATTTATGCATCTTCCTGTCTTTGAATGCAAATTATATTTCATTTTCTATTTTCAGGGAGAAATGTTAATTTTCGGTTCTTCAAGGAATTTCTGCAATATGATATAAAAAATAAAAAGTAAATCTTCCTTCTGATCCTCTGAGCTTTCATTTTGAAAAACTCAGAAATCCTGGAGTGAGTCAGAGGGGGAGTCGGCTCTTTTAGAGGGATTTAAAGAGGCTACAGCCAAATGACGGATGAGTCTATCATCTCCCATCTTCGTTAGTCGAGATATCTGCCTCATCAAAGGTGCTATATTTTCCCATCACAGATTGAAGGTGAAAGTGAGCACTGCTTTGGTTCAGATAATTGGAGTTTAGTCCCAAAGCTCCAATTATCTGAACCGAGTAATGGTAAAGAGATTTCCCAGTGAGAGTGGGGTATTGACATCAGTGTTGACTATATTTCATAATGAAACTTTCTCCCGTAGGTCTACTTCTGCTCTTCTTGATTTGTGGTGAAAACTTTATTTTACACAAAGTAACAGAAAAACTCTCTTTTTGGTTTTCTCTTATCTCCAATGAAATGTGTATTTACAGTTAAAGAGCTCAGTAACAAGCAGTAAACAAACAAATAAAAAGCCTCTTGTCAATGAAGAGTTAGAGTTTTGTACACTTGCACCATCCTGTTCTGAATCTGTTTAAGCAGGATTGTTGAACAGGTCAAATCCAGACTTTATTTCAGTTATATTCTTCATGAATATTTCAGCAACATGTATTATGCATGTTAGGTTTCACTGCACGTGTTGCAGAAATAACTGAAAATATTTTTGGGGATTTGCAGTTTGTTTGACCTTAACCTGAATATCAAGCTTCATTCATCGATGTTTGTCTCAGTTCATTAACACTGTGTGCATAGTTTATGAAAACAAAAATGAATAAAAGTATTTAAATAGCTGATCACCAAGGATGGAACTTTTTCTTTAATGTCTTAACATTCCATGCTGAGTGGAGAAAACATCTCAACTTGTGAGCTTACCATGTAAGTCAGTGTTTTTTATTTTTATTTTATTTGGGAAAGCAAATAGAAACTGATGAGTCATTGAACCAAGTTTTAAAAAGAACAGGGTAGGAAGTCTCAACATGAACAGTTTTAAGATTAGAAACAGCCCAGCAGTCTGATCTTTTTAAAGGAATGACTCAACTCACAGACTGAGCATGATAAAAAAAAGTCACAATTCTAACAAGTAAGAGGGTCAAATAAAATTTACTCTGACTTGTCCAATCCGAGAGGCAAGAATAAAAAGTCACTCACAAATGGCTGTGTTGATGAGTCTTTTAAATAAATGTTTTGTGATAAAATCCCAGAGATAAATGCAAAAAAACAATTGGCACGTTAACCTTCTTGTCAACTAACTTATACTGTATATAATCCCGCTTTACTTCCATTTACCAACCAGGCTCAGGCTGATGGGTGGATGTAAAGCAGGATTAAAACGTCACTTTTTCTGTTTCTCATGTTGATTTTATGCGTATGTGTATCCTGATTAATACATAAAACGTTTGAAAATATTATTGACAAAATGAAAAAACAACAACATTGTGCTTAAAAAAAGCAATTATCCTTTTTTCACAAAATAAAGAAAACGCATTTACATAAATGGACAAAATGGAATTCCATGTAAATATATCAGCTCAATTTCATGATACTGATTTCAGTGTCAATGTACAAAATAAAAACCCTGCTTTGCTTTGTGTGGTAAATGAATGAACACATGCTATGAATTGCTATCTACTGTCAGTTTCTCTTGAGTTTTATTCTGATTAACTGCAAACATTTTATGTTCCAAGTTTATTTTTAGAGATTTTATCTTGTAGAAAAATATTTTTGAATTATTAAAATCAATGTATCTGGATGATTATTGTCACTGATAGGTACAAAAAAATACTTGATTATTGATATGAAACACATGATAAAGATCATTCTCTCACAGTATGTACACAGACTCACACAGTATTCACACGTTTGTGTATGGTGGATGTACTTTTTCCTCTCCGGTCCTTGGGCAAAGTTCTGTCTGCTGTAAAAACTCCTGCACATTTGAGTCATTTTTATTCCCTCATATTTGGCTTTTGGAGCTGTACTTAATGCCAGGGAAGCTGAATTTGAAAAGTATCTTGAAAGGATTTGAAGCAGACCATTTCAACCGGAGCTTGGCTTTATGCAGTGACTGGCTTGGGTCCGCTAGGCTCGCTAACAGAGCCTCTGTGCTTGCGTCCGGAATATTCTCCGATAAATGAACCGTCCTCATCGAATTCTCCTTCTCCGTCTGCGTAGTCGACCAGGCTGTCTCGGCTGACGCTGTCCCCTATGTCATCTCCATTCAGAGAACACAAGCTGCTGCCCTTCAGTGGCTTCTCCTCACTGTCACTGCCATCAACGGGAACAGAGAAGGATGGCTGGGGTCAGCAGTGCAATGCATAAACAAACACATCATATTAAACACCACAGGCAGATGGTCTGCAGCTACATACATGGCCTTACGCAATATATATCAAACATGACCAAAAGCTACACACACAAACACAAGCCTTTAAAGAGCACATACACTCTTAAATCCGTGGCTGCACTAACACACACACATGTAATACATCACTACAGGCAGCAGGCAGGGGAGGATGCAGCGGCTGCACAGCTAAAAAGGAAGCACAGGGGAGGCGGGGAGGGCTTGCTACAATCACTTCACTAATTGCTAATTGCCAAGGTTTCAGGACCAAAGGCAATTTCAAATCTCTTTAGAACCAGTGATGGAAATTGCCAGAGTGCAGTGAGAAAGAAGTCGGGTGGGAGGTTTGTGTGTGCGTGCGAGTGTGTGAGTGTGTGTGTCTGTGTGTCTGTGTGTCTGTGTGGGGAAGGGGATGAGATTGAGAAAGAGGGAGGGAAGAGGAGGGCCATATGCAATCCCAGACAAACAGCCTGTCATTCCTGGTATTCCCGAGGGGCCCACACGCAGGCCAAGGAGATTAGATGCCAATTTAAGGCTGGGCAAGTGGCCAACTCGCAGGTGTCTCGCAACAAGACGCAGGGTCACCTCAAAACACTGAGGATATTTTTCCTCCTTGTCCTCTTTTTCTAATTCCCCAAACCTTCCATATTTTGTAACATCTCTCTCTCTCTCTCCCTCTCTTTCTTTCTTCCTCCTTTGATTTAGTATTCATAACACAGAGTGTCTGCGTTCAGAGACGACGCTCTGCTGGCTGCTATATGATAGCGCCATTTGAGGCGTACTGTAGTTGACACCTGTGTCAAATAAAACAAGCTCGACATTTTGAGGAGCGTTTTAGCACACAGAAGCAGCTCAAGCTAAGATTACAAATCAGGCCGCCTTCACGGGGATTTTTAATAACCAATCTTATCTGTCCTATTTCATGGGGCCGTTTACCATGCAAGCCACATAAGGTCCGCATTTCAACTCTTATCAAACCTTCTTTCTCTGACGACTCTAGAGTGCCGAAGATAAGTGGCTGTTATCTCAGAGCCGCCGCAGCCCACCCGCAGTGACTTTGAATATGGTGATAAAATGGGGCTGAGTGCTTTAAGCCCCAACTCTCATTCAAGATGCTGGTCAAAATCCAGTTTAGTCTCAGCTGTTGCTGTAAAAAAGGCTTTTCCTCAAGCCTCACAAACAGGTGAGAGATGGAGGCACATCGCCAGGCAGAATGTAATTAAATCTGTCTTTCCATTGACCCATGCTGACTTGGTTCGAGGGCAGCATTTAATCTCCAGGTGGAAGGAGGGTTTATTCCCCAACAATTCTCCTGAAGTTGTATTTATTTTAGTCTAAAGGTTTCTGGAAGAAAACGTTGCAGCCTCCTCAGCCATCTCCAGGATGGTACATAAATCTATGAAAGATGAGAACTAAGAGGAGGGGGAAAAGGGCGTGGGGTTAAAAAAAAACAAAAAAACATAAATAAGCTGAGGAAAAAATTGCATCACACTGATGGTCTGGCCAGCTTTGACACTTGCTGTTGCAGTGGACAAAGGGGCTCGGTGGCAGAGGCCCGTCTCCAAAGAGAGATCATCTGACGCATAATTACCACTTGTCAACTCCCCAGACACGTGGCATACCAGTGGGTGGTCTATTGCCTTCTGAGATTCAAAGGGCACAAGAGAGCCCTGAATCGAGCTCTAACACCAGGAAAACAACATCATAGTGAAGCTAAGGGCACTCTGGGGGGACAGTAGTCAGAGCAGGCTCATGAAACCAAACATGAGAGGCATTTTAAACAGATAGCTGCAGCCAAATATCTGCAGAAGCTCAAAGCACGACAGCTTCTCCAGCTTCAAGAGTTTTAAAAGTAAGTTTGTACCAGAGATAAAGATGTAATGTGATTTTATGAATGTTTCCTGAGAATATAATATGCATTAGTTTTTGATCAAATAGTTAAATCAAACAGCTAAGCATCTGTACTTTTCTCTTATCACTATGGCTTCTCATGCTTCAAGAGCTCTAAAGTTAACTTGGTGTTGCAGAAAAAATATCATATCATCAATGTATTCAAGCAATAGAATATGAATACATCAATAGAGGAAGGACATGCAGAGTCAATCAGAATACAATAAAATATGATACAATACAATATGAAACGATACCCTGATATCATAGTACATCACAGATGATGCCCACAATGATAATGTCATGATACAATTAATGTATTCCAAGACAATCATACCTCGTTAACCGAAAAATGATTTTAACATCTGTGAGCCGTAATATGTATTTTTATTTATTGGCCGTGTTGCTTGCTTCTGTGCTGTTTACTTTCTTGTAAATAGTTGTGCCAGTCCCAGGAGCTGAGTGGCCCATCAATTTCCTGCTCCTACCAATGTTACGCTGCGGAGAGGTCTTTCACACTTTAAGAGCAGGAAGATGACGTCGCTGTGGCGCAGGGGGAACCACAACTTCCTGACTTTTCAACCGGCCACGCCCATTTCCTTTGTTAATCCGTTCTTAGTTCTTTCTGTGTTACAAGTGGGGTGTTTGGAGGCTGTAGTCCTCCAAGCGGGCGGCCCAGGTTCGACTCCCACCTGTGGCTCCTTTCCCGCATGTCATTCCCCGCTCTCTCTCCCTGATTTCCAGTTCTATCCACTGTCCTATCTCTACATTAAAGGCACAAAAAGCCCAAAAATAAATCTTAAAAAAAAAGAAGTAGTGTGGTGAATCAGTAATTACCTTAACCTTGTTTTCTCATGTTTTGGTTTGTTAAGTTGATAAGTTGGTTGTCTTTTGTTTTACTTGATTTATCAGGTTATTTCGCTACACCAGTTAGCCTCCGTTTTGTTTGTTATGTTTGGACACAGATTCACTCGTATTCTTAGTTATTCATATTGGCACTATTGTATCCCTGTTTATTATTTATGCATCAAAACGAAATAACACCTGGGTCAAAGCATTACACTGTTCTCCGTGGCTGCTTAGGAAGTGAGGGATTTGGGCCTGTGCTCATGTTGTTTCTTGGCTTCCACTAGACAGGGTATATCAATTATACAGTTATAAAAGGGAAAGTGCAGAAAAGTGCATAGTTTCACTGCAATTTGGTTTCATCTCTTTTTATTTATTTTCACAGCTGTCCGATATTATCCCACTGTCCTCTTTTATCCTTTTGACTTCTCTTTATTATACTTCAATAACTTTATTATAACTTCAATAACTTCAATAATAAATAGCAAATGATTAAGGCCAACCATATATTGTAGTGGTCATATTTTGTCCCAATATGTTGTTTATGGTTAATTATATATAATATAATATATATTATATATATAAACTATTATTCATTACTCCAGATCAATGAGAAAATGGAAACCAATAAATAATGAGTAACGCTTAATAATATTAATAATAACAATGTTACTACTACTCAAAGTAGATATTGGTCATATTAAATTGTTGCCAAGCACCCACCAGTGCTCTCCATCAATGCTAAGCCTCACAGAAAACACTTCTTTAAGTCTGTTTGTCTGAAAACAGCCTTAGCTTGTGTACAGCATACATTGAGTGCTTGGTATGGATCAACAACCCTATAATGTGTTCACATAAATCAGTCATTGGGTCAGTATGAGACAGTAAAACCAGCGTATTACATCCTTATAAATCATAATCTATAAAATATACTCTGTAATCCTAAACAGGACAATGCATTCTCCTTGTTTAATAGAATTACAGTCTTGGCAGGAACCACAGGACTGCAATTGGCAGCAGGCACACAATGGTGAGTAATCATGTTCTGAATAATATGACGACGAGCAGAAATCAAAGCCGACAGAAGAGGCTATTTTAGGTGATTTCTGTTGTATGTGCACAAACCAACACACCATTGTCACACAGCTCCTGCAGTGCTGTCAAGCAAAATAGGATTCAGTCGATTTTCCTAAACTGTCACCGTAGCAGCTAAACAATGCAAACAATGGAAAATTCAACAGCTATTATGAAGCACAACAGCTGTCTGCTTCAGGCTTAAAGGCTAAGTTTGTTTCTAACCATTTGCGATGCTTTGTTTATGCTTGCTTCATTGAATGTAAGATGTTTTTCATCAGCAATTACTGTTTGTGGAGAATCAATGTTGCCATCTGCAGAGGAACCTTTCTCTATTGCAATTAAAAATCTGTATTGTATGGAAGATGTTCTTCTGACTCATTCATTCAAAATGTGAATCAGAGTTTAAAAGTAAATCATCCCTCCAAACACCAGAGGCAAAGAGCAACAGATAGATAACATTTTATCTTTCACTACGATCCATTCTCTGTTTCTCCTCTCATGCAAATTTCCACATCAGGAGGGGTGGAAACAAAACTGTGATAAGTTCAGCAGACAGCTGATCTAAGATTTTAAATAATTAACAACAGAAGTGCGTTGTCTGAGAAATGTTTTGCTGCCAAAGTGTGGTCACACTACCACCAATCTCTCTGCTCCATCCTGCCGTTCACTTCAAGCTAAAACCCATTTGCTGAAGTGCTGCTGCACGGTTTATTTGTGTGCATCACGACCCATGTTAGGCATGTGACGTGTCATCGCTTTTTTTAGTGCGAGGGATTCTTGATAGACTGACGGCTGATGTAACCACAAGTCAGCCTGTTTTTTTTTTTTAACCAAATCCTGAAACAAATGTGTAACATTTTAATTGCGACTATATATATAGTGTTGATGGAAGAGGGGATGGGTTCAGGGTTGGGGGTGGGGGTCTTTTGGGTGACATACTGTAAGTCCGATGAAATCATAGCACACTTACAGTGATGCACACACATCCAAAACAAACAGGCACACACATAGTTACACAAGACACAAAACCTACTAATGTCTGCACAACTAAGCCAACACACACGCTCAGGTAAGAGTCTGACAACAAAGTAAAAGCACATAATTCCAGCTAAAGGGGCGCAAATCTCCTGTTACCCACTACTGTGTGATTACCTAGCCCATTAACTGATGAGAACACTGGCTGCTAGGCTGATCCTGGTAATGAACGCATGGTTTTCTTTTGGAATGGGAGAGAAAAACATTAATATGACACATGACAAATGAGTTTCTCAGCCTGGAAATATTTCACATATGGTCGTTAGATTATTGCTACAATACAAAGCATTTCAAGGAGATAAAAAAAGTGTTGTTTCCTTGACATGCGTTTGCACTGCAGCTTTTTCACTGCAGGTAAGGACTGCAGAGCTCACCTGTATTCACAGAAGGTATCATCATTCATTCCTTGTGACTCTTCGTCAGGGTGGAGGTCCTCCTTCTCTTTCACTGCAGGGCGGGGGGGGCGGGACAGACATTTCAGCATCATTGTTAGAGAGAAATACTTTCTTCCTAAGATGTAATTACATATTACTGTTACTGTTGGGACAAACAGTCAAGTGAAATACTTCAAATTCGAATAAATATAAAGGATCCTATCTTTAACAGTACCAAGGGAAATTACTCAAACAGTAGCATCTGCCTTGTGCTAGATTTAATCAACCTCAGTGATTTTCTGTCAGACAATTCTTGGAAACCAGAGCAAAAGCAGACTCAACATTGATGCTTTGTAGGGCTGCAGGAATAATTGATCTGAACTTTTCAGTCTCTGGCGTGTATGTAAGAGTTTAAACTGAAAAATTATAACTGAAAAGTGTAACATTATTATCAAGCCTGTACACAGAAAGCCTCTCTGCTCTGTGTCTGCACAAAGAGCTACACACCAGCTCTTTGTGTAAATATGCTTTAAGAAATACCAGTTGCTTTCAAGAGAGACAAAAGAGGGGCTTCATGAAAAGAGCTGGTTGGGTAAAGGGGGAATCTAAAGGAGCTGATGAAATATTCAGTGCTTCATGTCAAAAGCTACTGCAGGCAAAGCAGTGGAGTGGTGGGGGGACAACGGGAGAACAGGTTGAAAGAAAAGGCAACCGAGCAACAGTGAGGACCCACACCTTGCAGCAGGTTTCATTGAGAGACAGAATTTGGCTCTGATACAAGACAGAGCAGAGGTGCAGAGGAAGCGCCAGGAAGGTCTGAACAGGTGAGGGGTGGAGAGGTGTGGAACAAAGCCAGCTGGTTCCCACTCGTCTGCTCTGACAAGATACTGAATCAGAGGTACCAAACAGGGGAATCAACCGGGCCAAGCAAATTAACTTACATGCCAGTGCTCTTACACATGCTGCATCTCATGGACAGCTGATTGAAGGTTAATGATTTATTGTGCTTTGCTGGGTTAGCATGCAGAACGTGTCCAACATGCAGTAATGATGCATTTCCAAACCAAGAAGGGATTAGGGTTTAGGCCCATTGCAAATTTCTATCATTTTCAGGAGGTCAACCAAAATGATTTAAAGTCAATTCAACGTGTCAATTTGGAGACATTTAAAAATGGTTTTAAATATCTAATAACCAGGTTCATCTCGTGTCAACACACTCTGTGCACTTAATGAGTTGTATTTTGGTTCACTTCCTGGAGTGAAAAAAACAATTGGACCCAACCCTGGTCAAAGACTAACTGACCTTTTTCCATGGTGAACATGTCTTGTCGCTCAGGAGGCGGCGGCGTACCTGCATACTTGCCACCTTTGTTTCTCCGCACAAAACAGGCCATTAGGGCGATGAGTGTGAGGAGCGCCACAGCACACATGGTCCCAATAAACCAGCCTTGGGTCGAAAGTTCGCTCTGCTGCCCTCCCACACCTGAGAACAAAAAAAAAAAAAGCAAAGAGACACAGAGCTCAAGGTTTCGACTTTACATCTTTGTGTGTTTGAGCACGACAGTCCCCTCGAGCGCTCCCCAAACAACTTTTTATTTGACTGAAAGAGAAAAAACACCATGGATTCTAGTTTGAGAGAATGTTCTCATGTCCTGTTTGACTCATATTCCCTTCAGCTATAGCACTCTGTCTCTTCAAAGAATATTAGATAGAAGAAGACACAAATACTCAGAGATGCAAGAAAAATGAATTAATGCACATTTCCCCCGTAATCAATAACAATTGTCAATAGTTCTCTCAGCGCTTCGGTACGGCAGGCTAGAACTCAAATCTCTAAACTCAACTGACTGCAACGCTGTTCTCTTGTCTCACCTTTGACTCTTGTCTGGATAACTTCTTCGAAAATACTAGTGTTATCAAGCAGCCTGTTGGCCATGAGGCGCACGGTGTACTCCATCCCGGGTTTGAGCCCATCAATTATGTGGAAACTCTGAGAAGTGTTTACAGCCTCTGAAATCCTCCAGATAGCTTCACCTGCACAGCCAAGCATAGGAAGTACACAAGCAGCATGTGTGTATTAGCATTCCTGCTATCGAGGAAGAAGATAGGATAGGTTGTTGCGAATAGGAAAATGGTTCTTCATTTATTGTAGGTATTTTCTGCACTATGTATAACTTTGAAAACATTTTAAGGAAATTGTGGAAATAGAGTAGGTAGCAGGTAATGTTAATGTTAGGCTGAGGATACATTTTAGATGTTTATATGCATACTTCACAGTTGGACCTAAACATGATGCCACCTGAAAATCGTGTAAATATTTAGCAAGGCGGGGACAGGAAAAGTAGCTTACGGTTATTCTTATAAGCCACATAAAGCTGCGAGTCCTGCTGCTCCTCTATGGCAGTCCAGCTGATTTTGGCAAATGTGTCACTCACATAGCAGCTTATGTTCAACAGGGCTGGAACTGATAAAGAGAGAAGAAAATAGGAGGAGGGGAAAATAAGGAGTAGAGGAAACACAGACAGGCACAGAGAAAAGCAGATAGAAGGCAGGAAAAGAGGATTAGCAGAGGCAAATAGGTTCCCCCGCAGCCTGAGAACAGTGCAGCTTGCAGAAAAACCCTTCAAGACGACAGTTCAAAAGGCAACGCTTGGCCCCAGACTTAATTGAGTGGAGCTGGATTTAGGCTCATAAAGGGTAGATATAGAGATCGTGGGCGGGAGTGACATCTAGTCTTCACTCTCCCCTAAGCAAAGCTGGCATTTCCTGACGCCCCCCCACCATGAGCTGATTTCAGAATAGATTGCAAAGACTCCATGTCTCAGATTCCATTGTTAGCTGAAAGTTGAGGTACGCAGAGATGAGATCACAAAGCTATCATTGGAGATGCATGCGTGAGTGTGAGCGATATACCTAAAGGAGGATGAGAAGAATTGCCTGGGATAGAGCTGGGAAAGGAGAGAGAGCAGTTGTGGCCTGAAAGGAAAGAGAAGCCTCAGATGTAAGATTCCTGCTACAACACTGTCAGTTCTAATGCTGAATTCTGTGCAACAAGCCGGCTCTGCAGACTACATGAAGGTAAGATTGTTACAGCAACTGGGAAAACTAGATTAATGGCCATAACTGTGCAAGAACACTGCAAGTGATCGTAAACACACTATAACTGTGGCAGAGTTACTAAATAATGAATGTGAATTGCAAATTCAAACTGCAATTGTCACTTTTTGACAAGGGGTTTTCACAAAGAAATGTTCTGTCTTTCCTGAACAGTTTTTTCAGGAATTACTAGAAACTTACTTGTCAAATACAAAGGACAAGGTTTAGATGACAACACAACACTGCACTACACAAAATGACCTACAACATAGCATACCTCTACTTCTAACACTACTTCTATGTAGTGATACATACTGCTCTGATCAGGGGCCACAGCTGGAGTCGGGGACAAATCTTCAGAAGGATAAAAAGAGAAAGAAATACAGCAGAAGATTACCGAAATATGGAAAGCCAGCTTTAAGGTTTATAGACCGAGCACAAACACACACAAGCACACACTATGAGACACAGATGTGCATGTTCATCCACACAGACAGAGACACACACGTGGGCAGAGCATCCACATGAACCATGAAACGCAGGTGGAAGCTTGCATGAGTGATCTGTTTGTTTAGTGGTTTTCTAGATTCTGTGACCAGTGAAGAGCAGCACCACCAGTGGGTGGATTGTTGATAGACAATGGTATCCCACAAAGCACTAGGGCTGGGTATTGTCAAGGACCTCACAATCCAGATAGATTTAGATTATTTGGGTCACGATTCAATATCGATTTGATTCAATATTGATCAATTTGTTATGATATCAATTCAATAATTTGCATGTATGAAATACCCAGATAATTCATTACACAAAAACCTCTAAAAGGAACTGAGTTTATCGCCCTAAAGCCGCTGGTCTCATGAAGCAAGTGGATTTCAGTTAGTTGCTAGAATGTACCGTTCTATGTTTAGAGTTGATATTGTAAACCATCAATTTAATGTTGTATACGACCGCATCAACCCCTGAGGGTTTTCTGAAACAACATTAAATTGGGGAAAAATATATTCAATGAATTGATATTTTAACTCAGCCCTACAAAGCACTGCACAAAAGAATCTCCTCAAAACACAAGAAATAAGTTTAGGGGTAAACGGGTTCGAAAGAAATTAACCACAAAATTATTGCATTTTACATTTTTGTTTTACAGGTTTCTGTATTTGTAGATCGCAGAACCAAAATCACAGTTAAACCATTATCCATGAACACAACTAGTATACGTCTTAAAGGGGACATATTATGATAAATCCACTTTTACAGTGTTTGTGAACATATATTTGGGTAACCTGAGTGTCTACCGACCCACAAAATGTGAAATAAACCCATCCAGTCCTTTGTTTGTAGTATGCATAAGTCTTATGAAACATAGAAAAGTGCTCCGTTTCAAATTTGCTCAACTTGTGATGTCACAAGTTGGTTTCTGGTAAGAAAAAATACCCTCCACCCATGGACTCCACCTCCAGCCTAGAGCAAAACTTTAGCACAGGTCTGCCATTTTTATTCTCGCTAGCGAAGGAGTGATGTCTACTGGAAAAACTCAGGGGAGGATCACTGCATTTAGAGAGAGACACACACACCAAAACAGAGCATTCTGAGAGAGCTGGTTTATACAGGGTCACAAACCTCCTCTGGTGCTTGATTCATGTTATATTTTGACCAAAGCACAGCACAGATGTTTCATTTAGACCACAGGGGACTGTTTGAAAAGGTGGAAAATGGGTATAATATGTCCTCTTTAAATCTTCATCAGTAAACACAACATTGGCTTTTCACCACCAAGTTGAAATATTAAACATGTTATTCATGAAAATCCAATACTTCTGATCGAGAATATCTGGGTGTTAGCTACTCCACAATGTTCATCATCTTTTCAGAGAATGTTGAACCAAAAGAAAGCCAACACAAAGCCTCATCGAGCCGCGTTGTAACTATGTTTTAACATTGTCATTAGATTATTGGTGATAGCATGGTAAAATATATCACAGCCCTCTTAATTGTTTTCTTGCACATAAATGGTCAAAGAGTTGAAGAACATTCACATGGGTGGTTTACACTTGTGATTTGTAACTGAAATACAGCTAAACTTTCTCATCAAGGTACTAATATGCATTACATTGCTGTTCTTTAAAGAAAGCATAAATATTTGATCCAAAAGAAATTCGCCTGACTAGCGAGTGTTAAGTCATTATTTGACGTGCTTCTGTTATTTAAAAGTTTAAAGATTTTTCCTTGAAAAAACATGAGAACAAGTAAAAAGCTGTCTCTTATCCAAATAAACCTTTATACAATACCTGCATTTCAAGCCACAATCATTACAAGAGGTTGCTGATCTGACATGGTGCAGCACATGCTGTCACCTCACAGAGAGAAGGTTGTCTGCTTTCACCTACCAGCCACAACACGCAAGTTAGGTTATTTGTGTCTCCAAAATGCCAATAGGCGTGAATTTGAGTGTGATTTGTTGTCTCTCTCTGTTGGTCAGCACTGTGATTGACAGGCAACCTGTCGAGGATGTACCCCCCTTTTACAAAACGTCAGCTAGGATTGACTTCAGCCCACTGTGATCCTCTAAAGATAACCAGTACAGCTAATGGCTAGAGGATTTGATAATTGAACTCTGTTGGTAATTTTCAGTTACTTTGAGTTTACATAGAAATCATTTGCACTCACTGGTATAATTGTTTCATTACCTGTGGCACGCATATCATTTGTTGCCTGTACCTTTTCACAGACTGTCTAGTGTGAATAGCATGTTCTCTCTGTTGCATTCTATTGTTTGAACTCACATTTAAAAATGAAAACCGCTGTGCATGAACACAGCCTGTTCTGCTTCTATTACTCTATCCAGAGCTGAGTGGAATGAAACTGAAGTCAGCCTTGGACAATTATGTTTTCCAAATAAACTTTTTCAAACACGAAGTTCAAACTATTAAATAATTTGTAGAAGATAACAAGTTGGGCGCTCAAATGTTGTGGCAGAAGGCAAATGATTTATTCTCAGGGGGAGCTGGTTATTTCAGAGAGACTCTGTGGCTTTTTGTCATGTTTGCAGTCCGCTTTATCTCTGCTCCTTTGTTATCTCATGAGACCTGATGCAGAAGAATAGATATTCTTTCTGTCTGCAACAGTCCTCTGCCATGGCTTCTCTCTGAGCTTTTCCTTCTCCTCTTTCTCACAGATGCTTCACCACTTCTTTTATGTGTGTTTTTTCATCTCTCACTTCAGCCACTCTCTTTTCTTTACAAACCTTTTCAACAAAGACAATTTGACACACGCATCCAAAAGAAATGTCAATACCTTAATGTTTGTAATTTGTTCCAGTATCTCAGTCTGTAATTAGAACAAGCCACTAGGTGAAATCCAAACAGGAACACTTGATAGCCAGTGCTCACTTTTTTTTTTCATTGTCACTCCATCACCCTTCATCAACGTCTCTCAACTCACAGTGCCCCTGCTCCGTGCTATTGGCATCCATAAATTTACTCTGCCGCATTGTGACTAACATACCCTGAGGACAGTGTTCACAAACAGAACCATTTTATCTCCCAACTGACTCTCTACTCAACCAGATTTACAAACAGTGCATCTAATGGCTCTCAGGCTGGACATCCACCTACAAGATGCACAGCCTCGAAGAGGGAGGATAAAAGCCAGAGAGGGATGAATAGCTTTTATTAAAACGCAGTCAGACAGAAACAGGACACATTTTCTCATGGATTCCTGTCTTTAATGTAATGGAGGGAGAAGTGTTGCAGGAAACTTCATGATTGAAATCTTTAAACAAATTTTTAGTGTTCATCATGTCCTACCAGGAAAAAAATTACCAGTACTAAATAGTGACAGGTAATGTCACAATGGCTGAAACCACCATTGTGAAGTGTCAACATGAAAACAGATAAGGTGTACATGCCTTTACTTTATGTAAAATACTAGTTTAAGCCACTATCTGTCAAACAATTGAATTTTTTTTGGCTTTGGCGTCCCCTGGTGGTCAAATGAAGAAGCTGAAATTGACACGATTGACACCAATGTTAACAAGGATTAGGTTATTTTTCAGCATAAAAAAAAAATTTCAAAGAGAGTTTTAAAAGGGGGATTATAATTGATTAAAAAGTGCTGTCATCACACTAGTTCTTAATATAACTTGAAATGTTGTAAAAAGGAAAGCTTTGCATTAAGTGACTGAAATGAAAGTCCTGTTCTGACTTTGGAACTTAAATGAGGACCTTCCTTCGTCACAGCCACACAGTTATTGTTTCATTGTTCCTGATTGTCTGAATTTCCTGAATTAAACATGGGACCCCACATGTTTTTAATGATTTAATTGTATTCTATTAATAACTACTTTACTCTAAACATGGTATAGAATAAGTGATGATGTAATATGAAATTAACTGCTTATGATGGCTGTTGTTATTTTACAAGCTTCGGATAAAGCATAGTTCAGAACAGGGTCAACGACGCTGCAGCAGAGGGTTAGTTCTCTGAACTTATCAGCTCATTAATTCTCTCAGTGAGCCTGGCTCAGCGGCTGTAATAGATGACACCCTGAACAACAACCTGATGAACACTGAAGGTCATTAAAGAGTTGTGCGACAGAACATCAGCATGATTTATAAACTCTATTCTACCTGATCTCCAAAGAGATTATGTAGAGCCACTGACAGGAAATATATAAAGCTGAACTGCTGAATGGTCCATGTTTAATTGAGAAAGAACCCTGAAATACTTATAATCAGAGTGTATACACTGAGAAGAAAGGCTGTTTCCTAGGGGGTAATAAAAACACTGTGGAAATAACGTTCCCTGAATCGTATGTAATAGGGCTGCATGATATTGGAAAAAAAGACATAGACCTGCAATATATATTTTGATATGAAAAATACAGAAAATCATGCATTCTGCTTTCTATCTACATATTAGGCCTACATGATGTTAGAAAATTGGACTATGTGTGATTACTTTGTTAAATGTTTCAATAACAAAATAAAGTGTGGTAACTAAACAAATAATGAAGAATGATTATTAACTATAACTCAGTTTTTATGTGGATCTGCTGTTCTTCAGGTTTTACACAACGGTTGTATTTTCACCATGTCCCTCCTGAAGCCAAAAAGCTGTTTTTTTAACCACTAAATTAGCACCAATGAATTTGAGCGTAGCTGATAGTGAGCTGTCATAGTTTCAACATTTTTGTTGAAGCATGGCCATTATACCTGGGCCTTCATCAAACAGATCAAACATACTAATAGAGAAATAAGACCTTCTTTAAACAGTGAGACTATGATGCCATTGTGATTTATTGTGCAGCGGTCCCCTCCCCCGATATCACTCCTCAACAGAACACTTGAGGAATCCTCTGCATGATATTTGGATTTTCATACAACTATTGTTCCAAATGTATCTTTGATGTCTAAATGTGTAGTGAAAACTAAAAGCATCTCAAGGGGGACAAAGATTTATTTGTGCTGTTTCATGGCTGTGTGTTGATCCTAGAAAAATAACAACCTGCACAATGAGATTCTCATTAGTGAGGTATTAAACCTTCCTCTAAAAGGCATGCCATTTTAAAGGCTATATTTAATTTACCAGCTCTCTGAAATATACAACTTTCTGGAGAAGTTCTGCCATACTTAAGGATCAACCAAAGCCCACCGATACAATCTTATCTTAATAATGCATTATTTGCATATGTTTTCTTACCTTTCATTACAGCTTTCGAAATGTTTAGACCTTGTTAGCTGTTTTTCAGGAAACAATAACTTTATTCTTTTTTGAATTGGAAAGTAGCACTGATCTCAATCAACTAATCAATCTTTATGTGTAAGTGCAAATTCATAACCATGTTATCTCAAAACACATAGCAAAGAGAGCAGCTCTAAACTGTACTCGTTTTTTATATTATTTACAGAGAGAGATTAATCTATGAGCAAAGTACCTGGTAACATTTAGTAAGAAACAGTGGCTGGGAAACGCGTCCTTCTAATGGGCAGAAACATCGAACAGAGCCAGACAGGTCTTGAACAGCCATCTGCTGTGACTGCGTTTGGCTTGCACAAAAGAAACTTCTCAGTTTTTCACACCTAAATCACTTTTTTTTCAATCACACCTAAATACATTTTTTTACATTGACTTTAAATTTCAATAGAGCCACAACAACCAAGTCCAAAGCTCATTCTCAGTCAGCCTTAATGCTAACTAAGGTCTACATGGATGAAATCTTTCTATGCCTCAAATAAATAAAAAATAAATAAATAAAAGCTAGAGAGCTGCCACAAGGCTTATTAATACTTTCATCTCAAGGAGACTATAATGGTATTTAGAGAATTACAATTATTAATAAATCTGTTGCTAGACTTCCAAACAAATCTATTAAGAGGCTTGCACTTAAGCTTTAGAGGAGTCACTCTGGCCTAGTATATCTTTAAGAGAATGACTTAGTAAAAGGCTTTTCTCTTTTATACAGCCTGAGTGGCTCAGAACAAACTGCTCTTAAACTTTAAAAGGCAACAACATCCAGCAGAAAACTCTTACAAATATCAAAATCTTTGCATCAGATAATAGAATATCTTGTTTTTTCAGTGTTGAATGATCCACAACATCACTGGATCCCACAATTGGCACAATGCAAAGAAATTATCTTTTATTTAGATATTTAGATCGATCATGCATTTTAAAAACACCCTTTTTTCAAATACATAGATTGTGTTAAAAATGTCAACTTTCCATGCTCTAATAAAATAAACTGATTATGACATCATCAGTGTATTTTTGTTCAGACCTGTCAAACTGTCCTCAAGGCCACCAAGGAAATTTATGAAGCTGCTTTTAAGGCTGATATGTGCTCACTGAAACTATAAAAGTTGTTTTTAATTGATGTAAAATACCATACATCATAAGTAAGAATATGTCATTGCAACAAACTTGTCTGTAGTGAGCTACTGTATGATACAGAAACTCTGGGCAGGTTTTTCTTATCTTAACAAAATGATATCTTTCTTGGCACAAAACCAGGACAGGAACATCGATTTGATCTACTCACGGGCTTGTTCAACGGTGCTGCTCTCCTGGGCCAGTGGAGGTCCACAACCTGCTTGAGTGCACGCACTGAGTTGGAAGCGGTAGAGGCTGCCATCCTTTAAGCCCTGGAGACGCCACTGGGAGGTGTCAGCCCCAGAGATGTTTATCTCCTGGGAATCAACCACCTCCAGTGTGGTCTCATTAACTATGGAGAAAGGAGAAGGATGTCAGGTCAGTTCAGGAGGCATGAGTGACCCCCCCGAAGGAGAGACACAGAAAAAGTCATCACTGTTGGCTCATGTTGTATGTTAATAGAACACAGCTATAATGAGGGTCAATGGCTGAGGGAGGGAGAAGATGAAGGGTTGTCATGCTAGCTCATGCAGAAAGTGAACGGAGCAGATACAAGTCGTGACAGGTGAGCTGAGGAGGAATACATTATGGAGAGAGGCGAGAGGAGATGAAAGGAGGAGATAGAGAGCTCAGGGGGAGGGGGAGGAGGAAGAGTGTAAACAAGAAGCAATGGATGAAAAGAGGAAGAGGAGGAGGAGGAGGTAAAGAGTAGGTAAAAGAAAAAAACTGAGGAGGAGGAATTGAAGGAGATATGATGAGGGAAAAGGTAAAAAAGACAACTTGAAAAGTAGAAAATTTACACAAACAGGTGGGAAAGGCAGAAGTAACACGAAGAGACAAAAGAAAAGAAAACAAGGCTGGAGCAGAAGTGGGAACTCAGATGACTTACATCACAAGCAGGATAATGTATCATCAAACGTGCATAATAGATCAAAGTACAGTGTGTGTACAGACTGTAGAAACGAACACACCCCTCCTGCAGCCCCCTCTGGTGTATGCCATTATTGTGTGGATGTTGAAATGAAGGTAAGAACTGAATGTGTGCCAAGCCTGTTGTGCCACTTTGGAAATTGGTGTTTGTTTGCAGCGCAGAAGAAGACTAAATATTTCACTTGTATTTGTACATCAGCAGATTATACATTGACTTATAACACAACCGTTTCCTGACTCAACTGTATGTTCATTCTGTGCTTATACAGCATTAACTGAGAGCTCTATTTCAAATATACTCAAGTTTCATGGTGAATCAGTTCAGTCCAAAAAATCTCTAACACCCACAGCCTGCATTGTGTGGGAATATCTGTGTAAAGCCTGACATCTGATATGGGAAAGGCAGAATGGAAAGGGGGACAGAGTGTATTGAAGAGCCGGCCAGACTCTGTGGGTGCTGGTGGAGGCGGCAAAGGACTGTCTCTGCCTTCACATTTTACACAAAAGATTTCAGAAATGTCAGCCAACTGAGAGTGTAGGCTTTGAAAACAGAGGAAACGTAATGAAAGCCCCTCACTCACTTATTCGCCCTACATGTTCTCCAGCATAAAAGAAGGGGCATTTTTTTTTTTTTTTGCTAAAAGCAATTCTTCTAAGAGATAAACGCAAAAAGAAATTTGTAGAGGTAGTAACAGCACTGGTGTAAATGATCCCCTTTCAGAAAAAAACTGCAGTCCAGGACGATACCAGATAAGAAACACTGAGGAAACTATCAAAGCACAATCATAAGTAGCCTGCACAATCATGCTGTTTCAGACTACTGTGCAGGGTTCAGTGTCAAACAGTGCAACCTAGTGTCTGCTATGATAACACAAAAAATAGAGTAAAGGGAAAGAAGCAGAAGCTAGTGTATGAACTCTGTTTACAGGTTAATCAAATCCACATCAGCACCCTCTATGTTTTTTTTCTTCAACCTGTTTCCAACCTGATCTTTACTCACCTACTCTTCAATAACACTGCTACAATTTTGCTCACACTTCGCCCACAATGCCTCATACTACAAAAACTGTGATACAGCAGAGAAAAATCTATTAATGAAATATCTAACATGGATACAAAGGTCTACACTACAGTCAATGAGTATGTATTCATGGTGTGTATACATACGGAGGTGGTACTGCAGTAGATAACCAGTCAGGATGCCATTTGTTTCCAGTGGTGGACCCCAAACCAGCAGAATGGAGTCTTTCCGGGCATTGGAAGCAGTCAGGATGGGCACCTGCCTGGGAACTATGAAAATAACACTCATGTAAATGTTTGAATGCATGTATAAAGAAACTTCTCTTGCAGCTTGCTGTGTCAGTGATGTCGGAATAACTTTTTTTTAAAAACCAAATAAATCTATATCTCTGTCTAGATACATGTCTGCACTTGTATTATTTCTGTAGATTTTTTTTCACTCCATGCCGAGCCTTTAAAAAGATGATAATCACACTGCTGTCACATTTGCTGAGTGCTTGTTCGAGGTGTCCTTGTCGCTGCACAAGGCTGCAGCACAGAGCAGTCTACAAAGGACTTGTATAAATCACACTAACTTTGATGACTTCTTCTTTTTATCCTGTTCTAAAGTGTCTTGAAATAAAAGTTTTTTATGAATTGGCGCTATACAAATAAATATTGATAGATTTATTGATTGATTCTTGAGGCGCAACACTTTCCTTACCTCTCCAATCATGTTAAAGATGAATTAAAAACAAAGTGCTGAATTATAATTTGTTTCTGAAATGTTTTTTCAACAAGATCCTTTTAATTCAATGTATTTCTTCTTCCTCTTTTAAAAATCCATAGTCTATGAACAACATAGTAGATGTGTTTGATTGTATAGTTTGTATAGTATAGTAAGTGTCCAAATCACACTGAGAAATGACTGATTCCTAAACTCCTTCTGACATCATGAATCATTCTTACAAATACAACCCTGAAAACTCAGATTTATTCTGAGCGCAAAAGATGTTCCAGCCTTCAATTGTCAAACTCTGCTCATTTCTTATTCCGCACAGTGAAGCACAAACATGGGAGTCAAGTAACTACAGGCCAAACACATTTTTGAGCAGGCTGGAATGTCATTGTAAATAAAAAAGTGAGCTTGTGTCACCTCACCTCCTTCTGGGGTGTTGAAGGTGACCGGGTCACTGTTGGGCCCATTGCCCTTCTTGTTGTAAACATTTACAGTGAGTCTGTACTCGGAGAATGGTTCAAGTTGTGGCACAATGGCATGATTCCTCTTTCCAGGAAAAGAGAGGGAGTGGCGCTCATCTAAAATTTTACTGGGATTCAGCAGACTCTGTTTTCTCACCCAGTGAACCTGTGAGATAGAAAAAATAGGAGAATGATGACAAGTCTGAACAGGTCACAGAGAGGAGGGAGAAACAGAGGATTGAGAGGAAGACAGCAGTAAAACATACTATTAAAGAGCAGCAAGTTAAGCCTGCTTTCCCCTTTAATGAGGCTCATCTGAAATCAAACATCAAATTTAAATCTAAGAATGTTATACCTATCATCTCAAGTGACAGTGTGTTATAAATTGCTGTTTCACACAATCATTTTGCCAGATACATTATTTTAATGACAATATCTTAACAGGTGAAAGAATAAACTGAGGAAACATGACCCTAAAAAGTTCTCTTTCAATAAATTAACTCAGTACATCACATAAAGTATGGGACATCATGCACTAATACGGCCTGAATGGGGACCCTTCCATTCTTACTAAAAGGGCAGAATCTGTGGTGAGTTATGTGATAGCCCACCTGCGTATAAAACCTCCATCAAACTGTAAGTTCCAACGCTTTTCATCTCAATAAGAACAACTTTTTTGAGGAGACCAGCAAGCTTCAGCTAGTTAGCGTCATTCTTTGCCAGGCTACAGCTAGCTTAAAATATTCCTAGCAGTGTTTGCTGTTTTTAGCCACTGCTACTGCTCAGGTTAGTGGGGCTCTTTGGCTGACACTATCTGACTCTCCTGACAGAGACAGCACCATTTACTTGAATGAGCTTATTTCAGCAGAGGGCTTGTTTGGTAGCTACCTGGTCCCTGGAGATGTTTAGCTGAAAAACACAACTCTAAAAACTCTGTGCAACATCATTCTTGGATGTGATAGGATTTAGAGGACGCTTTGATCCAAAGCAATGTACATGAGAGAATGTGATGCTTATGAATACCTGGCCAATGCAAACATCACATCAATGGCATGGAGCTACCAGTGACTTTTAAAAAAAAAAACTCTTTTTAAACTCTTATACGCTCTGATAGGCTGATTGTGCTCAATGAGACAGATTTTCCACGTATAAGCAAGCTGGTTGAATTTGTCTGCTCCCCCTGTTAAAACTCTCTTTCTGTCTGTTGCTGTGGTACAGTGGCTTTTTTAAGTCTCTTAGATTGCCCCATGTCCCAGGCTGTCTGAACCTTTAGGGAAGACAGTCTAACTACTGAGAGAGAATATGGGAACATTTGGGCAGGGGGAAATATGATCCCTTTTACTCTGGGGCAAATACCCACTACCCCTTGTCCTTTACCATAATAGACCAGAACACACCTTTTGGAATGGATGGCCTGAAACACTTTTTCCAAAGTGAAAATGACACTGCCTGTGGAATCGGTCCCTGGTCCTGATAGCCCCTGAGTGTCTGGAGAACGCATGGTATGCAGAGATAGTCATTCTGCTGGCAGATAGGCGCTGGCAGCTTCCCCTTAACAGGGACCTCCTCTCCAACAGGAGATGAGGTGAATTATCTGCACCCAGCACTGCCAAAGCTGCAGGCCTATTGGTCAAATTTACAGGCTAACAGTTTGCAAGTGTTGGTAGCAATGATCCAAAGTCTAAGTGGCACCCTCCACTCACTACACAACTATAAGCCTACTCCTGCTTTGGTTTTCTATCGTGGACGTTTTATCATTTCCTCAGGAGCTGATGGATGAAAGTTACTCCTTTCTGCACGATTAAAGGGGCTATATGTAACTTTCAAAAATACTGCGTTTGTAGCGATATCGCATGGCTGTTAGGCGAACTGCACCAGTAACCTGTTGCTCGCTCTCCCTCGTGTGCTCGTCATACGTGCTCGTACGTACACAAACAAGCATCATCATCAGCCGCGAAACACTGGATATTTACCGGCATAATGTTTACAGAGGAGGTAAGTGAAGGCGGTCTCTGGCTGTAGCGGGAGTGTGTGATGTGTTGTACTGTTGATCTCTGTAAGCGGAGCGGAGTGAGGAGGATGTTGAGAACGTGCATAAAATGTCACTTCCTGGAGCTTTTGCGGAAAATACGACCCGGGGAAAAAATGTATACAGGCAACACTGATAGACAGTGAACATCTACTTTTTCACATCAGTTAACCGTTAACTATTTATACATGTAAAAAGTTAGATATAGCCCATTTAAGGTCTTTTTGGTTGCGACATACTGGACACATGAGGTCTGATGGATGCACTCAACCTCTTAAAACATGTTTTTAAAGGTAGCCTGCTAGCTGAGGCAAGTATAAAAACCAGTGTCCCTTCATGAGATTTGGCGTTTTTGTAGACGCTATATGGTATTGCTTTTGACCCATTGAGTCTATTGATATGAATTTGATGTTATACATAACTGCACAGATTTCTAACTTGACCGCCAAAAAGCTGCTGGCAGCAGCCATGCTTTGTTTGTGCATCCCACATGTTCTCACCTCAGATGTAACATTAAGTCTGAACACTGCGTTTGCCTGAGATTATCCTTATAGCCTTTCACTCCATGTCTTTTAATCTTGAGCATTTGCCCTTTACTTTTGTATCTGAGAAGTGGAGGTGGATGCTTTTCCTAGGAGTGCACACCTACATACACTGCAGTGCATTCAGAGTATTTGTTTATGTGATCAGCTATTTGTCTATTTGGTAATCCAGGTAATGGTAAACACATGTCTAAACAGCACCTGGATAATGGAGGCCATCTCCCTGGCTTTGAGCAGCAGCCGTCTGTCATTGGAGGGAACATTCAAAAAGCAACATCACTTTTTTTAAGGCCATATCACTTAAGCCTAACCTTAAGTGATATATCTGTTCTACTGCCAGTTCAACATTGGACCAACTTTTTTTCCTGTTTTTGTCATGTGGATTTGACAGCCCCTGGTGGTACATTCTGCCCCTTTTCCTGACAGATGGTGCATTAGCATGCTTGAAGTCTGACTATGGTGGCCTAGCTGATCATTGGTGAATACATGTCCCATAATGTTTTACAGAGGGGATTTTCTTGAAGGGAAAAAATTTCCTGTCCACAATTTCTGTTCCCTGAAGGCGATAAAAGAGGTTAAATGCTGGGATTACAGACGTACCGTCAGGCTGGCCAGAGAGGAGTATGTTACACAATATTACCTGTATTTTACCATCATTTTCTACTTCAACAGAGAGGTAATTTCATAAAATGTCATTATTCCATACTAAGCAGATGATGCCTTGCGGTTTCTTTGCCAACTAATATCAATACCAATACATCAGCAAAGAAACGCCCAACTCAGCTGAGGTCTTTAGTGGAGTTTGGATTACAGAAAGTGAAAAAAAATCAGGAACAACAAACCACAAACTTTGCGCTAAATACTAATCTCGCCTAGGGCACCAAAATGGCTGGGCTGACTACAGAAGCTTTCCTTGAAAAACATTTACATTAGGATTGATGCTGAGAGATGGGTTAAGAACTACAATGTTAACTTGTAAAATGAACACGTTTGTGTTCTGTCTAATTAAAATGTTTCTTTTTTACGTCTTTTTAGTGAAACGAGAAATGTTCTCATATAATAAGTCTTAGAGATATAATACTCATTTATGATGATGTAAAAAAAAAATGAACATCTAATAAATAATGGCAGGTAATAAGCTTTAAAATGGATTTCTGTATGGGTCAAGTTAATACTAACTGACTAATCTGCAATTTCCACGCAGTCGTTGGGTGCCCTATCCGTCAGAGCCTCGTACTACGACGCTGTTGGCTTCCACTCTAGACAACGATTGTGTTTCCACCAGCGGCGCCACTCCGCTCTACTCTGTTATAAATATGCACTGAGTATTTTTTTGACTCGCTGCAAACGCACATCAAGCTGAACAGAAGAGATCGATCTGGACAGGAAGACAAATAAAACACAATATAAAGACTCCCGATTGTATACTCAATCACTTTCAACATTACATCAAAACAGGCATCGAATAAACAGCAAATCAACCTCAGAAAGACTTAAGTAATATGTTGTTTGCACATTGTTCTCTTTATTCCCGCGTGATCTTGTAGTTCTCCTTTGATCTTGTGAAACCATGTGTACAGCTGCTGATGGATGCGCTACGCTGTGCTCATGATCCAGAAACAGACCCAGTGGGGAAGGGTGCATGGCGCATATGACGGAGCAAATCCATGGTGCTGACAGTACCTAACTATGTGGAAGTTTCTGGTATGGCATATCTTGTTACATGTTATCTCATGATATTAACTCTAATTGTCTCTTTGTACCTATTTCAAGTAGATAAGCAATGTTGTGCTTCAACTTGCAGATTGTTTCACTGTCTCAAATTCCTCCATTGTCTTTAAGTTTTTTATAAAATTATAGAGTGTAGGCTGAAAGACGAAATTCTTCAGGACAATGAAAACTTACATTGTAGCCCCTGAGATGACCTCTCACAGTGGCTTGTGGAACTGGGGTCCAGCTAACTCTCAGAACAGTTGTGTTGATCACCTCCACTGCTACATCCCGCGGGGCTGAAGTAGGGACTGAATAACACACAGAGGAAGGTCAGGAATACAGACATTCTGCAACAACAAAGGCCAACTTTGCAGAGACTCTTAAACATACACAAAAACATATGAAGAATGATTAAACTAAAGACAAACAGTGAGTAAAACAATCCTTTCCCCCCTCTAAAACAAAAGCAGCCTTATCACAAGCCCATTCTTTTGATTTTTAAGATCTGTGAATAAAATCCTGTTGCTAGCAGATCAGTATAAATGTGCACAAATGTACCCTCAGCGGTATAGCAAATAAAGCAGCTTTTTTCAAAGCTGTTTTTTCTTTTCTTTTCTCAGCAAAAATAGTCGTAATACCAAACACAAATTGGTAATGCTCTTTATATACTTTGCTCTAAAAGTTACTTTACTGGCAGAAGGAAAGGTAAGAAGCACCACACACACACTAGAGAGAGGAGTGAACATTGTGCCTCAGTAGGACTAAATGACAAAGTTTCTGGTGGTCCATCAAATCTCCCACAGCGTCAGACAGAAGTGGAGATTTGACATCCACTGGCTCCACAAAGGTTATCTACCACCTGCTGGATTTAGCAACAGTGTTTCTCTTTTTGTTCTTGTTTCCAGAAGGGAAGAGAAGTCTCTACTTCACAAGTGCACAGGTTCAAAAATCACGGGTGGTGGAAAAAAAAGGAAAAAACTTAACCTGACACATTTTCCCGCAGACAATGCCAAAAGACGACTGAAGGCAGTGTGGGATACAATAACACAAAAAGTTCACATGAAGTCACAAACAGAAACTGTTATATGCGCTACTTCAGCCTTAAGGTATGTTTAACAGATTTTAAGCAAGTTGCATATTAACATACAGTATATACATGAATACATATAGTAGAGGAAGTAGTAAGTCTGTAACTCACCATCTTCTCCCGAGTAACCAGTAACAACTTTAGGTTCTGGTCCCCAGCCGTGGCTGTTCCTGCTCTGAATTTTAATCTCGTATGGGACATAAGTGGACGTGTTCTTTACATTGAACGAATGTCTTTTTTCCAGATTCCAGCTCCAGTCATCTCCCACCCCGGTTCTCCTGTAGCTCACCTTGTACTCAAGGCCTGGGCCATTGTGTTCGATTGGTAGCAGGGGCTACAACAGAGCACAGTTCAGAAGACTTAGAAATCTTGGATAATGAGTACAACATTGTACAGTAGGATATTTCTCTTACCTCCCAGCTGATTTCCATTTGATCAGGAAGATGGCCGTGAATTTTGATATTTTGTGGGTTCCTATCAGGAGCTTTGAAGAGATTTGGCATAATTACACATTTACAAATGAAAAAATAAGGATCTTTGAATGCTAAAATGTAAATATTCATCAATATTTTCTGGTTGTTGACAGAATCTTTGTAAAATAAAGTACAAGTAGGGTTAAAGGTTGAAAAGGTATCCCCAAAACCTACAATAAAACACTTCTATGGCCAAAGCCTATCCACATGACATCTCTCTAAATATTTCAAGGGAAATGTTAAACTTTGCATGCTCTCATAATCAACAATAACCACTGCAGAAATGTTAATTAAAGGGAGTGAGTCTCACCGGCAGGGGGTGTTTTGTATCTCTCAGTGGGCTCACTAGGGGGTCCAGGTCCAACAGCATTAACAGCATACACTCTGAACTGATAGTTAAGGTGCCCCTGTAGTGCCAGCTCAGCTGTTGCCTGGTTACCAGGGACTTTTTGTAGCTCCTTCCACCTGCCAGGCTCCCATTGGCTCTCCTCAAATTCGACTATAAACTCTGTGCTCATGGAGGAGAGAGGAGACAAACACATTTACTTATCAACATATGAGTTACAATCACAACAGCAAATAGAGGAACTTGAGGAAAAGAATTAGATTTCTTGTGTGTTTCATTTTGTGTAGTTACACTGAAATCATTGCTGGATCATCTAAATTACATACAGGCTGAGCACCCTTATAAAACCAATCAAGGAGTACTTCAATATTCTGTTACAAAATATGTATTTCCTGTGGGTTAAATGAAAGAACTGATACCACTCTCATATCTTTTTGTTAAGTTGAGCTGGAGTCAGGAGCGAGTAAAGTTAGCCTTAAAGGTAAAGGATGTTGATAGGGAATGTTTTTGGAATAATGTAAGGATCATGTAAGGAATAATCAATTGATGATTTCCATTACAGCCAGAGCTGTTGGCCATTCCCTGTGTGATCCTTAGAGCAGGCCTTAAAACAGATGTCTGATTACTGAGATGTTCAACTAAACAAATAAAACAACTTCATATTTGAGTCTAAAAAAGGATCTTCATCCAGCATGTCTCTTCTTATTTATTTTCAGAGACATTACAAGCCTACAAGAGGATATATCTTTCCACTGAAATCTTATCATCACTTAGTTCCAAAAATAATTCAGTCCTTTTCTAAAGCACAAATGAGACACGAGCTTCCCTGCCAGGATCATCAGCACTTCACAGCTTCATTGCTATTTGCAGCCATCACTTGTTAAAGAACTTAAGTAAGCACTAAACAGTGATCACAGCCACTGTGTCTGTACATGCTGATCTACACAACAGAGGAGACATGATATTATTCAGTGATGTACAGACCTTACATCCAAGATCAAAACCAAATATACACATTTTACAGACATAAATGTGATTTGATTTTATGAAAAAATATCTCTAATTATAACAGCACCAATTGATTCAGGAACAAATCAGGCAAAAACGTGTCAGGTTCCTGCCAGGGTAGTTTCTAGTTTGTGTGCAGATAGGTATGTTTTTGTCCTTTTAAAGCAATAATGTGTAAGTTCTCCACCTTAAAATAGTAGCATTAAAGTCGATCTAATAGTACAATGACTTTCAACAGGGAGAACACAGTCTCTCTCATGTCCACTGCACAGCCAGGTCATCTGCTATTAGCCCGATGTAAATTTGGCAGCGGGCCAGTCATCTCGCATGAAGTGCAAACAGCTTCATGCCACTAGTTCACACACAAGCCTTCAGTTAGAAGAGAAGAAAAAGGTAAGAAGAGAACAAGAGAGAGTGACTGAGCAAAGAGCCAGACTTGAGTAAATACTGGTCAGGTTATTACAGGTTGGCTTCTCACAACCTCATTGCCGTCAGTCAACAGATTCTGGCCACCAAACTGAAATGCTACATATTGTTGCTTTAATTGGCCATTATTTATATTGTGTGTTCAACGATGGCAGTAAATAATTAGCTTAGGTTGTACAATAAAGTCTGAATAAACTTTATTCTATTCTACTCAAATAGGGTATCTTTGAGGGTTTGCAAAAGTTGGCAGGTCAGACAAGCCTTAACAGTTTCTTAATTTTTTTCTAATTAAGTAAATAATGGTTACATCATTATATAGGCAGTAAAATGTAAAGTGAATTTACTTTGAATACAATTTTTTTTTTTTTTTTTTACATATAATAATGATCTTTAAGTGAGTCTTTTTCTGTTGCATTATGGAGCACCACTACCACCTCTAACATATTTTAGACTTCATGTTTTCCACACCGGCATTCATTTTTACCTGCTACAGAGCTGTTGTGATCATTGCCAGGCACCCAAGACAGACTAACATTCCTCCGATCCGTAAGTTCAGATATCTCAACATTTTTGGGAGCATCTGGAACGTCTGTAACACAAAATACATACAACAAAATGAGATGTTCAGATGCAATAGTCAATTTATAAAGCACACCTTACGGAGGGAGTCACATGTTAATGAGATTCACACACTGTTTTAAATTATTCATGTCATTATCTATATTAAACGGTATACTTCCGATCTGAGACCTTTGAAGAAATGTTCTATCAATAATAAATGATATAGTGCTATATTATTTAGAAAACACTCTTACCCAGTACGGTGAGCAGACCAGTTGCATTGACCTCATCTAGGCTGGTTCTAGCAATGCATGTATATAATCCCTGATCACTCAGGTTAACATTCATGATCTGCAGCATCCCATCGTCCACAACGTGTCTGAACCTATAAAGACATGTGTTAGTACATAACTGGAACATGAGTACAATCAGGCAGAAAGTACATAATGAGCAAATATATCACTTTACCAAGGCTTACCAGTTTTCTACAATACTCTTCACTTAAATGTAAGGAATAATCATCTAAAATGAGTGACAAGTTCATCGGGGAGGGCGGCTTTTTGTGCCTTCATTGGAGAGACTGGAAGATGGACACCGCCAGAGATTTAGGAGAAAGAGAGTAAAGAACAGCATACGGGAAAGGAGCCACAGGTGAAACCTGAACCCGGGCAGCCAACCTGAAGGACTACAACCTTCATACATGGGGCGTGCGCACCAACCACTCCGCTAACAGGCGCCTCTATATTTCACGTTTTTGCATTCATTTTATTGCAATAGAAGGTTCTACCCACCATACTTATTTTTCCAACAGCTGTTCTTAATCTGTAGCATTATTAAAGAAAGACATCAAAATGTAACCTCCTTAAAAGATGTGATGGATCAAGTAATTAGCTGGGGAAAAAGTATTTGCTCCCCCACCGATCAGGATAAAAGCATTGAGATAAAGACACTGAACATGTCTTAAACACAAGCATGGTTGAAAACTAATGGAAACATGATTAGGCTGCAGCCTCCTACCTTGAATTTCCCTCAAAGGAAAGTGGGATCTCCTCCTCATCCTTCATCCATATCACCTCAAAGGTGCCGCGCAGGCTTTGATCACACTCTGCCTGGCACATCAACTGCGCTGTGGTCCCACTGATGATCTGCATGTCTTGAGGTGGATTCATTATTCTGGTGGGGTCTAAAGATGAGAAGGGGCAGGTGTAAAGGCCCTGACATAAACATTTAAAGTTTAACCAATTAATTAACATTATCCAATAGTTCTTCAGGAATTAACTGCCTTTTAAATTTGTGATAGCAGTAATCAAAATATTAATATCCTGATATCGCTCAGGAATCTTCCATGGAGATTTTCATTGAGAAAAGTACATGAAAACATTACATTACATCTAATTACGTTACATTTAAACGTGACGTGATGTGAATCTAAAGTCTAGATGCTAACATATTTGTTTGGCATTCAGCGTAAGCATGTTTCAAATGACCTTATCGCTACAGATTCTACAAAGAGGAGAAGAGAACAGGGACCAAACTAAAAATTCCAAGTACATATCAACAGACTTTGGTGTGTGCAAGAAAAGCAGTCCGAATGGAAACCAATAGCAAGTGAAACGCAACCATGCTAATGCCAAACAGGCGCTCATCACTAGAAATCTGCATAAAATTTCAGCTAACAATCAAATATAGAACATACATTTTAATGTGAGCAACATATTTGCTTGATTTACTTTGCTGTGTCACCTAAGCCAATCAGCTTATAGATTTCTTGACTACAGAACAGAAATGATCCATCCGACCTCAATACAACAAGCAAACATTCTGAAAGACGTTTTGTAAAATTATTACACAAGCAGTTGTCTGTCATCAGCTGAGTGTGATATATGGATTTACAACAAGCATTATCAATCTCCAGTGTCAAGCAGTGATGCACCTACAGTACTCACAAGTGTTTGATAAGTGCATTTGAGGGCTCAGCGTAATAAATGTGTAACTTTAAATAAATCTATCTCTTCAGAATTCAGATTTTTTTTTCATGTCACGCATCTATCTATCTATCTATATCCTTATCTGCCCCACACATCCCATATTGGTCAGGACCTACTGTATATTTAACCCTAGCCACTGTCTTCACAGGAATCACTGAGAAAGTGTTTTCAATTGGCATTGTTAAACTATGACAAAACTGACTTTAACTTTAAAGGATCAGTTCACATCAATTAAAAATCTCTACCTTAGGTCTAGCCAAACAAATCATGTGGAAACAGATCGTAAAGTGTGGATAATTAACCTTTTAATGGCTAATCCTGTGCAGAGACTTGTACGAGCCCTATGTAAGAAAGCAATAATCATGTTGTTTAGATACCTTTCACATCCAGTACAGCAATGGCAGCTGACTTGCCCTCCGTGTTAACTGCAACACACACATAATTCCCCCTGTCGTCTTTTTCTGCGTTGGTTATTTGCAAAGACCCATTTTGCAATTCATAAAAACGTTCACCGACAAGAGTTTCTTGAGTCCCATCTCTGGTCCTGGAAGAGAAAGGTCTCTTTTAGACTGGCTGGGCAATAACACAAAGCACAAAAAAACTTATTCAACCACTTGAGTGAAAACAACAGAGAATGAGTTATATTTAGTTATTAAAATATTTGTTGTACGCCAGATTAAGGCTAATTAAAATAGTTATAAATCGAGAAAATATTTCTCTACAATACATTATATTATCTTGGGTATGTAGAACATCATATATTTTGTCAGGGTGTTTGTAGAGTTAAGAGTTTGTTGTCAGGCTCTGTTTAAGATACTATTTCTCTTTTGTAGAACTATAACACTGCTCAATTGTAGTTAATGGGATTTAATTAGCCCAGTTAGGACGAACGGAATGGGATTATCTAATTAAATAGACATAGGTGTCAACATCACCGTATTTCATGCAGACACCTGAAGCAGCGTGGAATTTATATAATGACTCACTTCTGTACGGTATTCTCTCTGGTTTATACCTAAGACACAGATATCTGCAAAATTCACTGAAATGAATAATATGGTGGTGAACATTCACACATTTGTATCTGGAAGATAGAACATCATAGAAAAAAAGGTGTGCACAGTGACAATATGTGTAAAAATGTTCTGTGAAACCTCTCACTCTCAGCTGTCCCCAACACGAATACCTGCTATCCTGGTTATCACTTACCAAGAGACAGAGGGTAAAGGAGAGCCGAACACACTGCAGTTCATGGTGATGTCACCTCCTAGGACTACAGCATAATCATGGTTGTTTCTTGTCAATATCTGCGGAGCCAAATCTAAGAGGAAAGCAAACAAGAAGAAGGTTACTGCTATAGTCACAACTTCTTATAGAAAGCTGAAATGCCAAAGTAAGAAAACGTCAATAAAATTAAAATGACATTTGTTATAGCGTATACTACAAATAACTTAAGAAGATGAAGTTGAACAACTATATGACATGTGAATTTCACATCACTACAAAATAGTATTTTATTTTTTTTTAAACATAGTTAAAACAAATCTAATATTTTCTGTTTTGAGCAGACTTGAACCACTCAGTCATTTTAAGTGGCTAAGGATAGGTCAAATATGACAGTACAGCTGGAATAATGAGACAATTAAAGAATGAGTCAAATGATAGAAAATGAACTGAGTATTAAGACAACTGACTGATGGAGTCGTTTCTGACTTTCATCATCATAAATTATGTTAAGTGCTGCTATTTTTGACAACTGCTATATTTGACAGTTTTCTTTTATTTATTTTTTTCTATTGTGTTTGTTGTTTAATGTTTTTCTGATAAACTGGGGTCTGGGAAAACAGCATTTCAATAATCAGAATGTCCCGTACGTGTGAACAATTTGGCAATAAAGTCACTTATCTTATCTAAGAGCAAATTCATTCATTATTGCATTAGAGAATGTGAGTGTCCTGTATATGCATGAAACAATGTGCACACCTTTCCATGGACTTTCTCACATAAATGTATCGTAGTCATCAATTTTACATATCAACTACTATGGTAGATATTAATTATGGTAGGATACAGAATTAAAATGTGTGCCCCTAGTCTAACAGGCTCATTATGAGAAAAGTTCATCCTCTCCGTCTTTTGCCTGCTCCACTTTTCAGAAGATGTGTGCTCAAACAGGCTGTTTGTAGATTTTCCCTTCATGACATCACAAAGGGCAGTAACCCCTCCTCCAGTTGGGTGACACTCCCACAGCTAGGTGTTTGTTCTGCCCTCTGAGTCTGCCTTCTCACTGTAATCAATAGGACATGGTGCAAGAAGGCCCAAGCCAACCAAGCCCTTCTAGAGGGGCGTGGTCGAACACAGCCCACTTGCATTTAAAGCTATAGACACAGAAACAGCCTGTTCTGAGCAGGCTGAAATAGAGGGGTTTATAGGCATGATCAAATACAGAGTCAGAGAGGCTTTTTAGAAAGAAACTTCACATACATATTTCGGGGAGCTCCGAGACTTATTCAAACATGTTGAAAATGAGAATTTTGTGTGGCCTTTAAACCCCCTATATTTCAGAAATGCTTAAAGAGATATTTCATTGACTTATATATGCTAGTAAACGGCTTTCACATAGGTGTCTTTATTTGGTAAACATCTACTCCTCTAGAGAGTGACTCATAAACAGAGAGTAAACCTTGCAGACATTGATTGCAACAAATATTTGGAGCTTTAAATTCTAAGAAAGGACTGCTCAGTCAAACCTCTTTCTTTGAGTCCATTAATTGGTCCCAGTGGTCAGCCCAGTGGCTAACTTGTCTTGCATTACTCTTTCTGTTTGTGTGAGTGTGTTTGTGAAGTGCTTCAGATAAAAGTGCTTTTTAAAAGCAGAGAAGATCCAGTTTTGACTTCAGCTTAGGGCGGACACTCATTCATGAGTAGCTAAGAGCTTAGAGAAACAAGCAGTGTAACATGTACATTGCTAGAAAATGTGAAAAATCTCACAGGTGTTTGGATGGGGGTCTGATTTATTTTTCTTTATAGTGGCAGAAGATCTGCCTCTGCTACTGATAGCCATTAAGGACAAAGAAACAACAGCAAGCATGTCAGCAGAGATTGGTTGATTAAAGGGTGACAATGTCATTATTGTTCATGGTTAAAATGAAACATAAGGCCATTTTTTCTGGGATCATAATAGTACATGAGATAGTACACGAGTACTCTTATACTAGTAATACATGAGAATACTTGGGATCAGAACCATTTAGCAAACCCTGTTGCACTTCATATTGATTTCATCAGATGGTAACCATTTCCTCACTGACAGGTTAATTATTTATTGATACACTCACTCTTGACCATGATGTTGATGTTGGCCAGAATCTTGCCATGATTGTTGGAGGCTTCACACTGGTAGACGGCACTGTCCTCCGGTGTGGCGTTATGGAGCACTATAGTGTCATCAAGCACTCGTCTGTTGCTCAACGGGTCATCTGAGAGAGAGGAACATACATGAAATCTAAAACAACTTCAAAGGAGATGCTACAGTTCACAGCATGATTTTTTAAGCCAACGCTAACACCTGTGTTTGAACGTTAAAACAAATCAGATAACAAGAAGAGCTGAAAGGATTGGCTGATTGATCAACAAAGCAATCAATCAAAAAAGTCTGGTTTAAGCTCCATAAATGTGAAGATTTGCTGCTCGGCTCCATTTGAGTAAATATAATTTCTTTGCTTTAGGGTCTACAGTAACAGTAACATCAAGTATGACTCTCTGATGAACATTATTTCCTCTACTGAAAATGTATAGACCTACGAAATACTCTCATCAAGGAAGTAATTAGTCAGACAAATAGTTGTAATCATGCATAAAACCATTAACAGTGAGGACTGCAGCTTATTTTTGCATTTGGTGTATTGTCATTAAATTAAAATGTCACTCCATTATATCTATCATAAGTCTGAACTGGCCAATTACCTTTGGATTGATAAATTAACGGTAGACCTGAAAGAAACTTCTGCAACAAGACATTTACATCAATGTAGTGTAATCTGTTTTAAAAATTCCATCTTATGTAGAAGGATATTTAGCAGATCAGCTGCTTGTGGACTTGAACTCAGGGCCTTGTGGTTGAACTTTTGAAAAAGCTGCTCGTTGCACAGTCCTCCTGCCCAGTGCCAAAAGAAGCATAAAACCACAGCACGATTCCCAACTTACCTTTGAAAACTTCACTATTCCTCCTCCATGTTATGTCTGGTGGTGGTTTTCCGCTGACCGAGCACTTGATGTGAACATCAGACCCAATAACAGTCAGCTGGCTCTGTGGAGGCTCTGTCAGCCACTTAGGAGGCTCTGGGAGACGTTAGAAGAGGTGCATTGGTCTACACACCTAAACAACTGCCCTCTCTGTGTCAGCAGTTTGCTCTTTGACACAAACACAAATGCACCCACAAGAACACACATAATTAGCTCTTGGTGTTGACCTACCTTCAACTATTACATCAAAGTAGTGGACAGCCTCTCCAGCAGAGTTTTTGGCTGAACACATGTATTTCCCTGCATCTGTCTCTTCTACAGCAGATATGGTCAACTGTTTTCCAAAGTTGTTGAATTTTGTCTTTCGAGGCATTTCGTCCCCCAATTTCATCCATGTAATCTTGGGAGTGGGACTGTGTCAAGAAACAAAATGATATTTTGTGAGCCGTCATAGAAGATAAAGAAGATCATAGACTACACATAGTGATGAAGTTATTGCAGTTTGTTGTGATGATGCCGCATGTATACATACTATCCCTCTGGTATACACTCTAGCTCCAGAGTCTGTCCCTTCAACAGAACCTTCTCTGACTGAACACTAGGGGGCAGCAGCAGGCCAGGCATCCTCAGTGGGGGGGCCAGAGCTACATAACACAGAAAGAATAGTGTTTCTCAATCTTATATTATTTAAATCAATTAGTCAAATAATAGACAGACATGCTTATAATATATGTTTTCTGTAGCTTTTTCAAACTGGAAAACAGAAAAGTTGCCGATCACATTATAAAAAAAACTGGTTGATTTATGCTGTAAAGGCTTTGATGTGTAAAAATGACTCACTGGTATTGCTGCTGAGAGCAGAATTATTGTCAGGTTTCACTGAAACGAAAAACAACATAAAGTGAGAATAGTAGTGATACAATCATTGGCATTTTTCACTGGAATGAAAATAAAACACAGGGAGAACAATACTAGTGGTAGTGATGGTTTATCTATGCTGACATATCTTGCTTTGCCCAGTCCTATAGCATAGCTTCTAAAAGCAAAAACATGACAAGACAAGCCCTGTGTCTTGGTATGCAGTTTGGGAACGTCTTAAATTGGACAGTAAAAATATCTGGAAATATGTTCTGTCCTTGATGTGATGACAAACCTGCTGTGTGCTTCAGTATTTCAAAGTTGTATGTGTTTGAGATAAAGAGATAAAGTCAACCTACAGCTCTTGACCATGACAGTCAGGGCGGGTTTCTGGACGATGGTGCGTATTTTGTTGAAGGCAGCAAAGCAACAGTAGTCCTGCCGACTGTCTTTCTGTAAGGCATTAGAGAAGTACAGGTTTCCATCAATGCCCATGGAAACCCTCTCATTCTGCTCAATGTGCTGGAGGCCTGGAAAAGAGCATAATTGCATCAAAGCTATGCTAGCAATGCAAATCTTCAAATACAAATGCAACCTACTAATTGTTTTTCGATACAATTTGGCTGGTAAGAAAGCAGAAGTTACACAGAACAGAACCTCAGATAAATCCATTAGGTGCACCAAAGGGTCAAGAGTAAAAACAAAATAAAAATAAAACATATTTCTTTCTTAACAGTCTCATAATGAAAGGAAGGTCACATGATGCAATTTGCAAAACAGGGTAGCCCCACATACACTTCATATCCATGGAATTGCCTTTATGGAGTCTCCTTTAATAGAGCCTTAACTTGTATGCACCCTTTAACAGAATAAATGGTTTACATTGAACCATTATTCATGTCACGGGTCAGTGACGGTGTGTGTAACTGCTTGGTAAGCCCATTCACAGTACGGCCCCAAGACATTTTTCTGTTTTTTCAAGGCACATCAAAAAAAAAAAAAAAAAAACACCAACACATTTGTTTCTGGGTTAACTTTCATGGCCCTTGCTCATATAAGGCAACAATATTTTTTAACTCATTCAGATCTTTTTTCAAAACTGAAAAACAAGAATTTGTGCCCAAGTGTTTTATTCACTCTGCCCCAGGTCTCCAGCTCATGTCCTTCTGAGCATCTAAAAGACATATATTTCTCTTTCTCACATCAGACAGGTTTGTTGGTGCACCTTGAGCAGTTCTCAAAAGGTAAGTAAAAAGACTCCGCCCCTATTGACAAAGCACTTTAGTCAGAATCACTTCCTTTGGCAGGGGAGGGAAGAAGGGGCTTGATGTGTATCCTCAAGTGTGTACCTTTATCTGAAAGTTCACCTTAAAGTCACTGCTGAAATCACCGATGCCAATGGAGAGTGAGAACAGCCACCTGCCTCTTTTCAACACTCACACTGCCTTCACTATCCATCTCTAAAACTCTGCAAGGCTCTAAATCAATGACACCCATACTTTAACAGCTTATCACTTATGAGTTGCCAAGGTTTTCTTTAAATGTCTGTTTTTTTAATATATCTCAAAACACTCATGACCTTGTATTTCCATTGAAGAGTCAACCATCCAAAAGTGTGCTTTTAGTCCCAATGCGTTTGATCAAGGTATAAACTCTTTATGTAGACATGGCTGGGCAACAAAGTTTATTTGAAACATACTTAAGCCTTTGCACTTGTCTTCACTTAAACAGAGTGCTTTTCTATGTTCACAATGTGATGTTATGTTAAGTATCCTGTGTATGTGTCCTGCATGTGCATCATATCCTGGTTTAAGCCCTTATCCTGGTTGTGAGAAACCAGCATAATCTACCTGTTGTATTGAGATAGAGAGAAGACATAACTGCACAAGGTTAAAAGAAATGAGTATCCTGTGAAGATCATGTATACAGACACATGAAGAACAAGGGTCATTCACATGTACCATGTAAACATTGTGTCCTGAATAAGATCACAACCAGGCAAAGTCTCAAAACAGGAATACTATTAAGCATGAAAACACAGGCATGGTCAAACCAGATGAATCCACCAACCATAGTTTTGAAGGGAGAGGACTGTAGTTGTTGGCTAGTATTTTTCCCTTCCTCCATAATACAATAATTATTCAGTGAAATACAAGTTAAAGTGTTGCCTTTCCTTGAAGTGTCTTAATATTAGAAGAACATAACCCACATTTCAGGCTGATTTATTACACTTTTCAACCGAAAAACTACAAATAGAAACCTTTGCTTCTTGGCTTACCAAGAGACATCCAGTAGATCTGACGTTCGGTGGCGCCTTCAGGAGGGTTACAGTGCAGGATGACTGGGTCTCCCTCATCAACAACAATAGGAGACACTGTCTCCTTTGGAAACTTGGGGACACCTTTGGAAAAAAGACACACAGCAAATGAAAACCTTATTGTGAAACCTGAAAAAACAAATTACTTACATTGTAATGTTGAAAAGCACCTTGTTCAAAAGCTTCATTTGTAAAGAATACTCACTCGCAACTATCAGCTTGATCTCTTCCGTCATGGCTGTTCCATGCTTGTTAGAAGCGTAGCATCGGTATTTACCCTGGAATTCGTCGAGAAGCTTGTTTTGAAGCACAAAAGTGCCACCTGTGTGGCCTGTCCTGTTAAGGGGAGGGATAAAATCTTTGCCGTCTTTTGTCCATCTGTATCTGTTGGGACAAAATATACAGCGGGTTATCATTCATTTTGTGCAACGTATGAAAGCAATGATCTTCTGTGACACTTAAATCAGTGATAGCCTTTTTGGTCATAACAGAGGTGAAGGTGGTGTTACTTACTCTGGTGTTGGGTTTCCCTTTGCTTCACACTTCAAAGTTATGGTAAGGTCATAAGGAAGTGCAATAACAGTGCCAGATGTTTTAGTTATGATGGTGGGAGGCTGCTCCACTGTGATATGAGGACAAGAACATGCAAAATGATCACAAGAATGCCTCATCTTAATATTAGTGATACAGGTATGGCTACAAAACAAAACTGACAAGAAATAATACAACTTTTTCCATCTTGTATGAAGCACATGAGTCATGAAAATGAAAAGTTGAATGTTAACACTCTGGATTATCTGCACAAATAAGGTGCCTGATGTAGACACGGAACTGAAACAGCAAACCAGGACTTGATTGCAAAGCATTCTCAGTCCTAAACAGAGCAACCGCTGGTGCAACACAGGTGACATAAACAATTTACTTTAACTTATTTGTTAGTCATAACAAAGCAGTTATACTCTCGCAAGACGGAACTTCTTAAATGATGAGTACAAATATTTGAGAAATGGTTTCTTACTCACATGGAGACGTGAGGCAATTAAATGTACACAACTTGCAAACATTACATTTTGAAAAATCCAAAACAACAAAGATCTCTGCTTCCACCACTATCAAATATTGTAAATCAACTCTACATTTTTTCTGTACAGCTAGTAATTGGGCATTGCCTAAATAGGTGTTATATGGTACTCCTACCTTCCAGAGGAATATTGAGACCTGCAGCCCTGGAGGTCAAGGCCATGAGCAGGACAAACTGCAGGCAACCCTCCAACCTCATCCCCCTCCAATGGTCAATGGAGACAGCAGCAATCAGGCGAACGTGTCGATGCAGATCAACTGGCATCACTTGGAATGTGTAAGGCACAGAGCACCTTGAGGATGGAGGGTAAGATCAAAAATCAAAGTCATTAGTAGACTTCACAGTCAAATAAAGGTTCATTCGTGCTATGATCATGACCACAGCATGAGAGCAAAGCAGAGAGCAGTGTTGAAGGAAGATCATGTGTTTGTCCCTTAATAGTCCAGCTTCAGGTAGCAATGCTGATATCAGGCAATTTATAAAATGTGGCTGACTGAGCTGAGTCAGAGCTAAGAGAAAGTGTGAAAACCAGAAGGCTATACATAAATAACAAGACGACCTGATAAGGTAACAGCATGTCAAATCCAGATTCTTTTTTACAGTGTTTTTCTATCACAATCTAAAACTAAAACCATTCAACCAAGTGTTTTGATGATTTCATTTTAATTACGCTGTGCCTCAGGGTAAGAAAAATATTTCATGATGTTTTGCAGCAAAATGCAGATTACCCAAAGGGCATTTATTTCAATGAATTTAAAGGCTTAGCACTTGAAGGCTGACAGCCACAGAAAAGCACTAGAGACTATTAACAATTGAGTAAAAAATATTTTTCATTAAATAAAGAATTCAATTAATTCCTTTAATTACACAACACTAATTTCAGCCAGTTCAGCACTATTTAATAAGTGATTTGAATTAAAAGTTGTCTCTCTTTTTTAACTACTCTGTGATTAATTCATGCAAAATCTCCGTTTGAGTAAACTACCCATTTAGATGCAGTTGTACCTCTTTGTTGTGATGTCGTGGCACAACACAGCAGAGCACTTGTCTGGAGATTACCCTTTGAACTGTAAAGCTTGGCTGGTGGCATCGCATGGCATGCTTACAGTAAACCCTACTGGCACAAAGCTGCATTCTGCTACGATCACTAGATCCAAGATGGCAGACTATAAATTGGTCTAAGCTCGTCAGTATTTCACGGCTTACTTCTCACAGTGCTGAGACCGTGGTCGCATTGCCAAATGGATTCAACCCCCCCAGCTAATCCTACTATCAAGAGAATGAAGGCAGGGGAGTTCTAGCAGTCATACAGTACGTTGCTTAACAATGACTGAGTGCTACTTACAGTTCTTCCAAGGACACAAAGCTGCATGTGCTGTCCCTTCTTAGTGAGAAAGGTTAATATGATAATTGTGCCAGTAGATGCAGGATTAAGCTGCTTGAGGTTGGAATCAATTAAACAAATTGAGAGATTGTGGCACAGTATTATTTACAATAAGGACTTTATTGTGATTATCTTCCACTGAATTGGATGGTAAACAAAGCTGCTAGATGTTTGTTCCAGTGGAGTAAGCATACATTTTCACGTTGTGATAAAGCTGTAAGCTGCTGTCATTCTTCGTCTGGAGTTGTGTATTAAGTATTTCACAGAGGCTGCACAAAGACACAGCTTTTCATTAGAGACCACCCACAGCACTATAAAAACTTTAGTGACAGTGTTTTGCTTTAAATCACAGACAGCAAACCAGAGCCCTTGTTAGGTAGGAGGCCACAACTCCACGGGTGTCATGTGTTGATGCTGTCAACACAGCAACAACCAAACAGGCAACTTTCAATCATGTGCAACAAATCCTCTGCCTGATGCAGGATGAAAACTTTGAATTACCAAGCCTTATATGCACAGAGAGATCTGCACCCATGTCCCTGTAATAATGACTAACACAAGGCTGTCACAGCCCATTAAAAGGCATGATCTTTCAAGCGTGAAATGGGGTGGAGTCCTGTGTACACACATAGCAGGGCATTTGTTTTGGGAGTAAAGGATCTATTACCTGAGCACATGGCAGATCATAGCCACAAATCTGCAGGGGTTGTGTTCACTAAGCCAATAGTTGGCTGGGGCACAACGATTGTGACTACTACATGACTAATCCCTGCAAACACACACTGTATACATGACTCCCTCCCTTTCTTAAAGCTCACACTCACTACAACTTCCCTCAACCCACCTGCACCCACACAGAGACTGTTTACATGTAGACAGAAAGAAACAGCCAGTAAATAAATGCACATTTATCTGTACACATTTTGCTACTCAAAGACATAAAAAGCAACACAGAGTTAGGGACTACTTTCAGCATATGTCCAAAATGAAGTCACCAAAACTTACTGGTTTCTGAATTATTCCACATCTCAAATCACCCCTAGCAGTGGCACAAGGCAGCTGCACGGCAAGTCCACACACAACAACAAACTTTGTGACAAGACTATCGAGGGATCATTCCTACAACTCTCTCTAAACCAACATCTCTGACATGCCCTTCCTCCTCCACCACACGTTGCTCCTCTGCTGGCACACAGACACGCCTCCCTGCCCGCCCCTTCACTCAAGCAGCTAACAGGAGACTCACTGAAGTGACATATGTCGCCAAAGCCTCTCACTGGCAAAGAGGCTTGCTAAGCCTGTGACAATGACTGGGACAAAGCCTGCACTGCGGGGCTACTCACAGAGCTTTAAAGAATGGGAGGAGAGGAAGTACAGGCATGTCTTTCTCTCTCTCTCTCTCTTTCATAGATCCCTCCATCCTTCAACAAACTACGCACGCCCATTTACAACCGTCCCTGTCTGAATGATGTTAATGCAATGTGTCTCAGCTCCTTTGAAAGGGGAAGGGAGTCATCTTTTCCCAAAGGACCGGAGCTTTTATAAATGTGTGCTCTCATTTACGGTGCTGCAGGGTATTGATGGATGAAGGCATGGGAGAACATGCCTGAAGTAGACATGATGTTGTGATAGCAGGGCACTAGGCCATCTAAACAACATGATTTCGCTTTTCTCGTTTAAAGTTCTTTCATCATGTAAGTACGGCTTTTTATCCAGAGACGAGTGATCAATCTTTATTTCTCTCACACAACTTAAACACCCTCTTCATGCAGAGGTCTGCGATCTTATCTGTTTGTAATTCTCTCAATAGACTCATTTATATTCCAAGGAGTACAGAGGGGATTTGCAGTATAGGTAGCATAACAGCCACAGCACTGAGTTAAAGTGTTTTCCAATTTGTTTCCTGATCTGCACTGTAGGAATAATGGAGATTTTATCTACAACATAATTTTCTAAGCCTAATGGAGACATAATGACCACAACGACTAAGCAATGCTCGTACTGCCCTGCAGGGTCAAACACCCAGCAGGAAAAAAAAAGATTTCACACTAACAGCTTCAGTATTTTAAAGCCTGAAATGAGGTAGGATGAGCCTTACCCATGAGAGGAGCTATTCTACTTGCAATATAATATTTTAAAGATGGCTTTAATTAGTGGCTCTGGGGGGGAGAAACAATCTAAACCGCATTTACTCTGCCAAAAAAAGAATATGTCTTCCAATATTCCCTCATGCTTCTGTGTTTATGTTTATTTAAATAAGAAACAAATACTTTTTTGTACTGTCCCACTTTTTTTTTTTACTTTAACTGAACCAAAAGTCACTTTACTGTAGGTCCAGATGGCTGAGACATAAGCAGTCCATTTAAGCCGTTTGTCATCACTTCTAATGGACCTTTTCTATGGTTTAAGGGAGCAGGGCCTCTGTAAACAGGGAGAGAAAGAACCTTAGAGGCAAAGCCTAACAGCCTTACTTGTTTACTCACAGCTTGACATGTTATGTAGACATGGAACCAAGTGCACAAAAGATTCATGCAAATTAAAAGATAATAGCTGTAGCACGGCCAAACATACATGATCTGGTCAAAGCAAATATATGCACAGAGTCACCTGGCTGTTTTTGGAGCTAGGATTAGCTAAGAGCTCAAGAAAATGAGATTGAAAAAAACATATATATAAAAAAAATAATATATAAGATATATGACACAAAATACAATAATTTGTAAAACATATCCTGTTATGTTATGCGTACATTCCTGTTCCACCGTATATTTCCAAATCGGAGTGTTTTTCAATGAATTGATGAATCGGCTGACAGAAATACTCAACTATATTAATAATCAGTTATTTGTTTCAGTAGGTTTGTTGTGTGTTTTTTTTTTGATGATATTTTCGGGCCTTTTGACTTTATTAGATTGGGCAGCTGAAAGAGACAGGAAACGTTTGGGAGGAGAGAGAGGGGAATGACATGCAGCAAAGGGCAGAGGCCGGACTCGAACCCACGGTCATGCGGTGAGACTATGCGGTGAGGCCCATGATAAAACCAGTAGGCTATCCGGCGCCCAATTGCTTCACTATTTTACAATTCAAATATACCAATTTGTGCTAGGTCTTGATTTTTCTCTAATTTCCTGTTAAATCAGTCAAAATGATATGTTTTGCTGTCTTATGATAGTCAAACAAACAAGACCCTGTGTCCTTTTTGATGGACATCAAAAAACATTTGTTATTTTCTATTGATCAATGTATCAAGAACATTAAGTATAAACTACAAATCCACTGGTACTCACAACTCTTATCTCCAGATTAACTGCTATAAAAACATAGTTGTTTGTTGAAGCCCTTTATATACAAATAACTTTATATAATAGATTTCTGGTTTGGTATTTTTTTCTTCTCCTTATGAAATTAATCTCTAAAATGATTATGCTACAATTTCAGATTCAGAGCATTACTGTTGTAACAATGACTCACAGTTTGTAGGATGACACCTAGGCGCCAGAATAATGACAAACAAAAGAGAATGCTATGGATTTTGCCAAGTATTTTCGGGGTCTCCGATCATGACCAGTTTCATTGTGCTTGTTTAATTAACAGGAACGTTAAAACAAACCAGAGACATCCCTCATTTGTGAATTCCAACTCTGCGTCTCTACCGACATCTAAATCCCCTGTGGTGACAAACTGAAAAGGTTGCCCTGCCCCGTGCCTTTGTAGTGATGCATTTCCTCCTCAGCAGCCCTCGTCTTTGGTGCTTTCTGATAATTACAAGTCTTTTGCTTATGTCTCTACACAAAGCTCACAGACACATAGTTGTTACAGAATACCTTTCAAACAAACTTGAGAAAAGCTTGACATACCTCAACATTAGATGGCTGGGCCTAAATAGCTGTGAAAATATTATACTCATTACACATGTGCATGTGTGTAATGAGAATAATCTAAGAAAGGATGGAATGCTTCCTGGACACACCAAAGTATTTAAAACCAATAACAACAGAATCCAAATGTCACAACCCATTCATGATTCTATTTTATTCTCATTGTTTGAGTCCAGTGGGTGTTAACCCAAGCTTAACACACGCAGACATAAGAATGCACGCACCAAAGGGAGATGCATCATGTCAAACTTCGCTGTCAACAACACTGACAATGACAGCAGTGACAGAGGAGGGTTCAGACGACCACAAACATCTGCTGGGACTGACAGACAGGAAGGCAGCCTGCAGACAGACTCTATTCATGAACAAATACTGGAGTACTTTCCCCTGTCAACTTTGTTTTAGCAAAGTACATAACTACGCCGACCCCTTAAAAACTGAGTGGGTTGGGTTAGTTGATGTCTCATTCTTAAAACTCAGGATTTTTTAACAGACATGTGATAAAGAAAGTGTAACTAGGATGATTTTCTTGCTCCTCTGGAAAACAACTTGACTATCCTGACTATTTCAATCCCTGGTGTCATTAGGTTCACATCATTTTAAGAGATGGCTTTAAAAACAGCAACACTTAAAACAATAGGCATAATAAACAAGACATCTGCCTCTGTTGACTAATTATTTTTGGAGTGGTGAATACCATTTCTTCATCTACAATGTATTATCTTTTTTTTATCTTCTTTTACAATACTCCACAATTGCCCTACTTATCTGTACATAAAAGATCTCTCGACTGTCAACTTAAATGATTATAACATCCCAAGTTGCCATCTATATTTTCTATGTTTATGAAACTCAATCAGGAAAGTAATCAATTCTAAACAAAAAACACAAATGAAAAAAAAAAAGATAAGCATGAACGTTTATTGTCTCTTACCTGTTTTATCTGGGGAATTTGTCAGGAGGACTTCTCCAAGAAAAGTTAAATATATTTTAAATCACAGCTAGCTCTGTAAGCCTAGTGGGATGTGTTATAATCCTCAATGACATACATGAGCTTCACAGCCTAAATGTGTTTCCTCTAAACACATCAAGTCTAAAAGTTACCTAAGGTCATAACAAAAGAACTCCCCTTACCTCTAAGGTCAACACTTCTTCTTATGACTTGTTGGTACAGAAACGTGCGACTGTCTCTGTTTCAGTCCCCCAAGCGCTTCAACAACTAGTAATTATGCAGGTCTGGAATTCACGCAAACAACTCTGACACATATCAAACAGATCCACATCAAACCTGTGCTTCCAGTATTATGTAAAGGGGCAGGAGTTCTAAATTGCTACATTGTAAACATAAACATGCATAACAGGTTTAAAGCAAAAGTGTTTAGTGGCTCATATTTGAAACCTTTTACTAACTCCAACAAAAACATCGTAAAGTGTTTGCACGTGGAAACCTAATGGATAAATACATTAGCACTTGAAACCGCTCATCTAAACACACAACTCTTTAACTGTGATCAAATCCTACTGCAAGTTTGATCCAATATGTAAACACTACATTGGTTTAGATCATTAAAACATTTTTATTCACTTCAACAGCTAAAGCAAGAACACCATTTACTGTTCTTTAATGTAAATGATATTTTTCAGAGCACATGTGCTTCTTAGAAGTACGGTAGGCGTCTCGCCTCATTAAAAAGCCGTCTAGCTTGAAGTAGCGCCTGTGCTGGTACACATTGCTCTGTGGAAAGTCATTTGAAGAGTTGCTTCCATAAACACAAGCTTGCCTGGCACGCAATCAGAGGGCACTACTGTATGTTATTTTAATCTTAAATTCCTGATACCAAATCACCAAACACATGATTGGGTATTTCTTTTTCACGACCTCCTTCTCTATTGCTTTGGCTCGTTTAAAAAAAAAAAGAAGGTGTTTCTTCATTACAGAAAAAAACAAGAATATTTAAATGAATCCCCATTTGAAAAAGTAAGGCTTTTGAATGACACGGACTGGAAAACAACATGAATCACTGTTGAAACATGTCTCTTATAGAAGTGAAGGGTGACAAAGAGTGGCATTCAGCAACTTAATCAGTTTGCCACAGCCAGCAGCACAAGTAGAGACAGTGTGGAGACAAGCAGTCACACTCAACTTCCTCCCTTCAAACACCAAAAGGCCACAAGAAGACCTCTTCACACCTTCCTTCACACTCACACATTGTTGATCAGTGTGGCAGAGAGGCAGATAAAGGGAGCAGTACGGTGCTCCGTGG